CATTTGCTCTCCTTCTGTCTTTCTCTCTCTTTCTTCCTTCTTATTCCGGGCGTCTCAAAATGGGAAATGGTCGCCGATTCCCAGTAGTTGTCTCTCAAAGCCAACTCACAAGGAGTAGCAACTCGACAACGACGCATCCTTGTGCACAAAGCAAGGCGTGCACAAAACCTTCAAGGACAAACCTTGAAGTCAACTATCCTGCCAGTGAAGAAATCGACAACCTTCACCATTCTCAACTTCAACCAATGTTGCCAGAGCGCAAGACGTACCGGAGTCGACGGCGGAATGGGGCCAAGTACCTCTCTCAACATGCTTAGACCACTGTGCATGACAACCAATCCGAGTTTGGTTCCCCTTCAACATGCCCTTAATAGTGGCTTTCGAAGGGGATCCCCTTGTTTATTTGGCGCGAAATAGTTATATGATAAATTACGCAATATTGTTACTGTTTCCCAAACCTCAAATAAGCATGGCACTGTAAGTAACCCACACATAGCGAGCTCATTTTACTCCAAATCAGCGCTTCGACAAAGAGATAGGCGGAACGGGTCTGATCATGGATCCAGGAAGGGTTCCAAAGCCACACCACTCAGCATTTGAGAGCCTTGGGGCAACATCGATCGGATCAGAGATAAGCTTGTAAGGGTTCCTTGGAGGATAGGGCCAACTGCTTGAACATGCTTGAACCACCAATGTTTAAACAGCCTCCCTTTGGCTCCTCAAAGCCTACCAAGTGCTAGTCGAAACATATCATCTGATGTGAGTCCATTTTTTGGGAACCCCTTTTGGGGTTGCTGAAAAAAGAAACCAACGGAAAACATACCCATTCTCTTGGTTGCTGTTGACCCCTCTGCAAAAAGTTTAACTTTTCGTGGGTTTAGTGGAAAACCCAACTTGATTTCAACCAAAAAGCTAAAGTCTAAAGATCCAACCCAGCAGTCAAGTGTTGGTGGTCCCCCCTATCTCCAATCTTCGACTCGGGTCCCGGCCGGCTTTCAGCCGCTCCATGGCCTGAGTCGGATCGGACTCCGGCGAGCTCGCTGAACATCCGGAGCGTTTCTGAGGGAAGCCAATTGCAACATTAGGGCCGCCAGGCCCCCAGGATTCCAGGCTCTTTGCAATAGCTTCAAGGACAGGCCTGAGCCACGTTTGGACACTGAACGCAACGTTCCCAAAATCACCTAGGAATCCAGGAACTCTGCAGACAGTTACGACGCAGATCGTGTGTTATCATGGGCATTTGGCGGATTGAGGGATAGAGTCTCACTTGCATGTTGATCCCTGATTGACAGGATAGGTGATCAGAACAACTTGGTCAAGCCCTTGCAAAAAAACAACAACACACATCCACAAAGGGATCTCACTGAATGAAAAGGGGCTACATATTTGGCAGGAGTCGACTATAGCACTGTAGGGTGCGGGGAAAGTTGATATAGGGTTCCTATACTTTCGCTTGAAGGGTAATTTCCCTTTGGTTTCCCTTTCAAAGAGACCCAAAGGCGGATGCTTCTTGTGGTGGGGTGATGTTAGGTTGGACATATGATGTGCCTTGTTTGAATGATACCCTTTTTTCTTCCCTCCCCAAAAAGAGGGACGGGTAAAGAAACAGGAAGGCTGCAAGACATCGTCTAGGCAGAATGGCCCATGCCTAGAGACACACACGGTCACCGTGCCCCCCGTATTGTCAGGCGGTAAAGGAACAGGAAGGCTGCACGACACCGTCTAGGCAGAATGGCCCATGCCTAGAGACGCACACGGTCACTGTGCCCCCCGTATTGTCGGGGGTCGAAATGCGAATCATACGTAGGCGACTTCGTGAGCGCCATGGTTCTGTGACAAAGTGGCTGAACCCAGCTTTTTGCAACCAATGGTTCAAGCCAAAGTAGCGAGAGGAACTACTTTTGCAGGTGCTGTCGCAGAGCGGAAGCAACACCGTGCCCAAGTTGTTGACCGATAAGGAGCCACATGATTTCTATTATGGGTGTGAGCTTTATTCGGCGAACCCTTTGGTGGACATCATTTAGGTGGGGATTCATGTCAACCACCCACTTGAGAGGTGGTTCCAACTGGCCAAAGCAGGCAAAGAGGCGTGAGGCACATTCAATGGGCGAGGCAGATGGCTGGGACAGATCCGACGGTGCCATGCCCGGTTCTCGTTCAGCCTGAAATGGTGGGAGCTGGCACGGTGGTTGTTGCTCCGCTGCCATTTCCTCACCTGCATGTGCGAGCTTTGCCAGAGGCTTCGCAAGGTGAAGCAAGGTCGGAACTGGGCGAGTGCTGATGCGAAGCAAATCAGACTCAGGCCATGACTTCGACACAGTCATTTCAAGCCATTGCGAGCCACAGCTGTGATGATGGACCTCAAACAGCATTGCTCCTAGGCAGTCAGTTGTCCCCACTTAATTTGGATACCAAGCCTTTCTTTTTTTGAGCCTCCAAGTTCAGATGGTCTTCGTGGTGATGGTGGCTACGGTTGTGCAGATATTTGAATGCTGCCGGTACCTGGCTTCCCTGCATAGTTCTCTGTCCTTCGGTTCGGGTGAGCTTTGCTTTCATTTACAACGATTGGGGCCCTCTCTTGTACCGCCTAAGTGACGGAGTTCTCAATTGAATGTTCATACGCAACGCACTGTAGTTCCTGAGGCTGGCTCTTTGTAGTTCGCAAGGAGAAGACATCACTCGTCGCCCTAGAGGGCATGGTAGCCCACTGGTTCCAGGCATGTTCCGCTCACAAGCATGGCATAGCATGGCTGTGGCCACAAACAGCGAAATCAAGGTTGGTGAAAATATTTGCTTGAAAAATGGGTTGGCGAAGAAAGGGTTGGTTCAAGAAGAAAGTGGCCGACATGTCCGCAAAGAGCGGAAAAAAAGGGCGTGTGAACAACAAGGTTGGTTCAAGAAACCGACCCTCCGGAAAGGAGTCGTCGCGCTTAGGTCGCACCTCTAAGGCTGCGGCTGGACAAGGCAAATCACCGAAACAGCACCGAGTCTGATGCGTTCATCTGGTGCGAAAGCCGATTCTTCCGGCAAAAGATACAGGTGCTTGGGTTCTTGAAGCAGCACAAAGCTGCGTATGATTCACACTCATGCTGTTGGCGGATTCTGGCTACTAGTCATGGTCAGACCAATTGGCAGCTGGGCATGTGTCAAAATAGGCATGTGGACTTCGAAAAGGGTAGCCGGGTAGCCTCACAAAAAACTGTGTCCGCACTTTTCTTCAGATTCCCCTGCCAAGCCCGATTCCGATTGCTGGCCAAAGGAACGCAGCGTGGAGGACGAATCTGCAAGCCAGAGACGGGATGGGATGCCCGAATGACAGGTTACATACAGGTTAAACACCCTCCAAAGATTGTTGGGCTTCAAAAGAACCTGATATGACGGTGAGGTCAAATAACCTTGTTTGGGGGCCGTGGCCAAACATGGACCAAGGAAAACCCAAAAGGGGAAAATTTCGATTCGCTTGGGACTGAGCATTTCTTATCTCGGGTTGGAGGACCGATCCTCCATTCCGCAAGCTAGGTGTGGTGGAGGAATGATCACGGTTTCCATTCCATGTATACCCTCCCACCAACAAACATGGTAGTGAACACACTCACCCGAAATGAGTCAACCCGGCATAAAATGGCTGACCCAAAACCATGTCAAGAAGGCGGCCGCAACTATTTCTGGCTGGGATCGTCCCTTACTACCCTTCATCTACCCGGGTTTTGCTTTTGGCTCAAATGAGAGAATCCTTTGTAAAGCGGGGAGAGTGTGCGGTATGGTCTGTCAGACATCACGATTGCCTGGTCGATGATGTCCATTCATTACCAAACTTGTCTCAAGATATCTTACAACGCTTCTCGTGTTTCCCATTCTGCCGACTCCTGCTCTTCCCACATTTGACATCTTTGCAAAGGCTTCTCAACCCTGGTAAAGCTCTTACAAAACAAGGTGCGTTCACTTCCCAGAGGCTCCAATTCGATTCATTTAGGGTCCTCAAACAGCCAGGTTTTGAGACCAAACACCTGGGTGTCCAATGAAGTCGGGTCTTCCATTGAAAGGAGCCTCTGGGTTCCCGAGGTGTTCACCTCTAGGTTCTACAAGCTTCCCTGTGCCCCGGCTCAAGGCCACGAGTTTGGCCGCGAGCAAACATCTTCGGACCTTTCGGACCCGGTGGGGGCCTTCCAAGGCCGTCCCAAGGCACTTCAGCGTGGTGTGTTCGGTGTGTTGCTGTTCAACACAAACCTGGAACCAGGTTGGACCTCCATGTTCCTCTGGCGCTCTTCGAGGTCCCATGTTGGAAGCGTTCCGCAAGGCGGGTTTCTTTCTTGGCTCCCTTCTCTGAGGTTCTCGAGGGCGTCTTCTGATTTCCTATGGTATCGCTGAGGTTGCAGCGATTTTCTTCGGGGACATCAACCCTGCCAGCCCTGCCAGCCCCAGTTCCAGCAAGTTGCCGCACCCAGTCCCAAGACAGTGGAGACCCCATAGCGACACCTTGCTGGAAAACACCCTTTTGAAGGCCCCCCACACTACTTGCTGGATGGCTACTCGCAGGTACGATTGAATCTGCAATGTGTTTGGGGGGCCTTTACCTTCATCACGGCAATACACCAATGAGCCTACCCCCAATTCCCCCGCACTAAACAAGCCAATGGAAGGTCCAAAAATGATCTGATTTGGCAGTGGAGCCCAAGCGACACTCCTTTGTTTCTCACTCCGAGCCTGTTGAAATTGCCAATTTGCCGGGGGCAAAGTGTGCACTTCTTGTGCAGACGGTGACACGGTGAAACCGGATGGAGAAACCATACCAAAGCGGATGCCACGCAGGGGGAAGCCAAGCTACGGACTGAAGCTGAGCTGAGCTGTGGGGGGCCCTGGCCACTTTTGAACAACCAATGGCCATGCCTGCCAGGCCCAAATTTTCAGAGATCCCAGAGATACTGTGGACGGACAAAGTCCTGCACCACTTAAGAAACTGTGAAATGATGATTCGCCTGCAAATACCAGGAAACAATGGCTCCCATGGTTTCTTAGGTGGTGCAGGATTTCGTCCACAGAATTCCAAGGGCCACAAACCTGCTCGCACCACAGACCGGAGATCTCAGATGGGCAGGGTGCTCATCTTTGACTCGAGTGCGCTCAGCCGGTCCTCCAGCCGTGACTCTGTGTGGCCAAATTGGGCGACATGCACAGGTTCAAGAGAAACCAGAATACACCATCCAGCATCCAACGACTTTTTTTTTGGGTGTTGGACATGGTTGACAAGCAGCCGTTGGTGCCAAATGGTTTCAACATGATTCAACAGAGTTCAGCGACCCTTGGTCTGCCAGGATCCTGAAATCGCAGTTGCCATTGACCTCCAAAAGGCTCATGGGACCCTTCGAATGCGAGTGTTCGCCTCCACAGTCGTGAGCCTTTGGGCAACTTGATCAGGAAGCACCCTGGTTCCAGGGCTCGGGAAGACCCATGGACGAGTACTCAGGGGTTGCCTGTGGGCCATTCAGGCGGAAATCAAGCGGTCCACGAAGGACCAGGAAACTCAAAAGACCGCTTTCTCTAGGTTCCAACCAACAAAAAGACAAGCCCAAGCCCTCCTATGTGTGTCTGCAAATGGGGAACTCCTCCGATTTCTTTCTTTCTTCCAAAATCCTCGATAGCATTACATGTATACGCGCGTGCATACAAACACAGACTCATACAGCAGTGGGTGTGTATATAAATTTAGGGAATTCCTTACATGGTGATGTTCCCCTTCACTTCCGGTTGAAACAGGTACAGCTGTCCATGTTTACTCATAAAACGTACAAACAAAATATAATGTATGTTTGTACACACAGATTTACATAATATGTATATATATATATACACACACGCATACACTGTATACACTGTATTCACATGCAGTACCGTTCTGTCGCCTCTCCAGCTTCCGGCCTTGAGGGCGTCATCCATAACTTGGAGCACCTTCGCCTGCGAGAAAGTCTCTGACACTTTGTGCCAACCCTTTTATGTTATTTTGTTCATCATTTTACTGGGCTGCCCTCAGATCCCCCACGAAAAGTTTAACTTTTGGTGGGTTCAATGGAAACTACCACTAAGCACTAAAAGGCTAAAAAGCTAAGGGGATGGCTGGGAGCCACCAAGTTCAGTCACCCCAAGTCTGTGACTAAGGATCACGACCCCAATGCAGTCCCCATGAGGGTCCTCGAAACAACAACCCCAGTTCTGGGGGGACCCAAAACCCGTCGGCACCCCTGGGGCCCCTAGATCGCACGGCGCTGACAAGGGGCTTGGCGCCCTGGGCGTTATAACCGCCAGGGCCAAACGGGGTATTCTAGGGTAACTTCCATTTCCATTCTTTCCAGGGATCCTTCTTTGTAGAAAACCACCAAAAACCTCCGATTGCCGGCTCCTGTTGGAGTGTTTTAGGATACGATGTCAGCCCCTCAACAAGGCCGCTGCGGTCCAACCCCATTCGAACGGAGATCCAAAACCCTTCAAATGGTCCAATGACGCTCTGCTCAGTTGTTCAGTGACCCTGGAAAAAATGGGAACCCTTTTTGGGGGATTTTCCATTTTTAGTGGGGCAGCCACCAAAAAAAGGGGAAAACACAATTGGTGCCACTGAACAACTGAGTCTGGGCATCCAAAAACCGGATGGGGGATTCACTCGACTCACTTCCGGTGCCTCCGTAGCGTTGGCCGGGCGTGGGGCGGAGTCCACTTCCTCTCGGACTCGTCCAATGGACCGTGGGGATCCTTACCTTCACCAGAACATTGCCTTGCAAATGGTGGTTTCCAACTTTATGTTAGTGTTGAAAAACAACATGTTTCAAATGGTCGCAAAATGTATCTTTTAAGGAGCCCTGCGTGGGGAAGAGACGTTTGGGAAGGTTGGAGTTTGAGATCAGTTTCTTTGGAGATGGGGGCTGATCAATACTCCTGACCCCAAATTTAGTGGGACATGTCATCTGTTTTGTGGTTTCCTGAATGGTCGCCCCATGTAATTATTTCAGACCTTTTGATCAACCCCCAGATGTTTGAAGGAGACGACAAGGACTCTGAAGCATTGAGCCCAAACCAAGGGAATGACGCACCAGCTCTTTGAGACTTCTGATCCGCAGCTTCGATGCTTCCCCGACAAGTTCTGAGAGTGCCACATATGGGTCTGTCAAAATGGGGGGAACCCAAGCAATTGTGGTGCTCCTTTCGGTGTCCAAAACCTATCCAAAAAGGGTACCTACCCTCGAACACAAACGCACCCCCATGCGAAAGCCAAGCGCTGAGTACAAAATCTGGCCACGTCACTGCCTGCCACTAGGTCTCCCAACACTATTGTGGATGGACGAAATCCTGCACCAATTTGAAACTATGGGAAACCATGGTTTGTTGGTATTTGCGGGGGAATCATCATTCCAGGGTTTCTTGGGTGCTGCAGGATTGTGTCCATCCACTGCAGGACTCCCTTCTGGATGTTGTTTGAAGTGACATCAAGGGGAAGCACGCGACTCTTCAGCCGCCGATTTCAACTTTCCTGGAATCAACGACTCACTAAGGGGGTTGCCCTTTGGGAAAAGCGACGGCTCAACAATATATACAGTGTGCTGGTCGCAGGTCGTTGTTTGCAGATTTCAGGTGTTCAAGCGCCCCTCAGCGCTAAGCGAAGTATCCTTCATGGGAGGGGGGTGGTGCCTGATTTTCCCGGGCTGCTGTTCGATCTTGTGAGGGGCGTCACAAAACCGGGCTGCTTTTCTGGCTCCCGTTCCAGAGTTGGTCGCGGCTGGATCTCCATTGGAGGGTCCAGGGATCCGGGGGGTCCGCTTTGGATCCCGGCGACGGAAGCGTGGGGGTTCCGGTCCAGACTTACAGTGCACATGACAAGCATAGTGCCTTTCTTACGCAGCTGATGTTTTCAGCAACCCTCCTCCCCCCATACAAATGAGCGTTGCCTCGCAAATCGACCAAATCGACTCAAGCTGCCTCGTCCAGGTGCTCGTTGGTGCTTTTGGAGGCCTACTGTGAGCTCTCGGCCGGCTGAAGGGAAAGAACCAATTCCAGCTGACGCCAAGTAAAGGTTTGGGGGCCATGGAAGGCCAACGAAAGGACTAGGGAGCCTCCCTGGGGTCCATGATAGGCACTGGGAGATCAGGTCGCCACGTGCTGGCTTTGCTGGCAGGGTAAAGGCCACTGATCTGGCCCAAAAAACGGGATGTTTGAAGCCAACGGGAACCCTCTTACAATCCACCAACCTGAAAAACCAGAAGCGAGAGGGGCCCCCTTGGACCAACCCTCCTACTTGAAGGCTGACGACTGAGAGAGATTTCAACTCAAGGAGTTTTGTCCACCATGGGCAGCGCAACCATTGATTCAGATGCATCGCTCTCTTCGAGCTGCATTGAGGGAAATCATCACGGCGCTGCCCTCAGATCCCCCGCGAACAGTTCAACTTTTAGTGACCTCCCTGCCCGGTTAGCTTGCTGGCCTGCCCATTGACACGCTTAACTTTTAGTGGCTAAATGGAAACTACCACATAACACTAAAAGGCTAAAATGCTAAGGAACCGGTTGGCCGGGAGCCACCAAGATCCAATCACTGTGATGCCAATGTAAAGGACATCCTTCTCGCTGCGCCATATTCTAGGAATTGGATTCCCTTGGCATCGCACAAAGTGACGCTTTGCCCGCCACCCCCTCATTTTGTTTCTACAACCAGGGTACCCTCAAAACAAATACGCATTTGCCACAACCATGAGTTGCAAAGCAGCAGCTTTGGGACATCACGCCAGGGGCGCAAACTTTGTTCGGATCCATCCATTGGAGAAAAGGCTGGCAAGCGCCACTGTGTCCCTGGAGAATTGCTGTGGGTGTGGACTCGGTGACTCGGTGCTTTGGTTCCTTTTGGATCCCTCCACGTTGCTTTCATTGGGCTCCTTTCGCTTTGGACCTGGAAATGCGATCAGCCCTTGCAGCTTGACCACAAATACACCACCCACTGCATACTTGAAGCACCCAGATCCAGAACCATATACCCTCAAGGGCCCGACAAGCCAACCAAAACCTACAAACAAACAAACAAACAAACCAAACAAACCCAACCAACCAAGCAACCAAACAAACAAACAAACGAACGAACGAACAAACAAACAAACACAAATCAAACACACAGAAGCCACACAAACAAAGAAGCAAGCAAAGAAGCAAACAAACAAACAAACAAACAAACAAACAAACAAACAAACAAACAAACAAACAAACAAACAAACAAACAACACACACACAATGAAACAATCGACCACGCCAAACAAGCAAGCAAACAAAACAAACCAGTCACCAGACAATGCCAGACAAACAAACAAACCAAACAAACAAACAAATAAACAAAGAAACAAACACGCACACGCAGGCACACACACAAATAAACAAACAAACAAACAAACAAACAAACAATCAATCAAACAAACAAACACACAGACAAACAACACACACAATCACACAAACAACCAAGCAGACACACAAACAAACACACAAGCAACCAATGAAACAATCAACCACACAAACAAGCAAACAAACAAAAAAAACAATCCCGTCACCAACAAACAAACAAACAACCAAACAAACAAAGAACCAGAAAACAGACACACAAACAAACAAACAAACAAACAAACAGAAAACAGACACACACGCACACACAAACAACCAAACACACACAAACACAGAAGCAACCAAACAGACACCCAAGCAAAAACACAAGCAAGCGAACGAACGAACGAACAAACAAACAAACAAACAAACAAACAAACAAACACATAGACAGCAGACAGAGAGACAGAAAGACAGACAGACAAACAGACAGACAGACAGGCAGGCAGGCAGGCAGACAGACCGACAGACAGACAGACAGACAGACAAACAGACAACCACACAAACAAAACAAACAAAACAAACAGCACAACACACACACACAAAAAAAACAACAACAACAACAACCAAGCAACCAACCAACCAACAAACCCACCAACCAAAACCCACCCACCCACCCACCCACCCACCCATCCACCCACCCACCAACCAAACAGCCAACCAACCAACCAACCAACCAACCAAACGCACCAACCAACCAACCAAGCGACCAGCCAACCATTCAAACAAACAAGCAAGCAAGAAAGCAACAAGCAAGCTAGCAAACACACAAACACCCACACACACACACACAAAACACACACACACACAAAAACACACACACACACACACACAAAAACACACACACACACACACACAAAAACACACACACACACACACACACACACACACACACACACACACAAAAACACACACACACACACACACACACACACACACACACACACACACACACACAACACACACACACACACACACACACACACACACACACACACACACACACACACACACACACACACACACACACACACACACAGACACACACAGACACACACAGACACACACAGACACACACAGACACACACAGACACACACAGACACACACAGACACACACAGACACACACAGACACACACAGACACACACAGACACACACAGACACACACAGACACACACAGACACACACAGACACACACAGACACACGCAGACACACGCAGACACACACACACACACTAACAAACAAACGCACAAACAAACGCACAAGCACACACACACACACAAAGACACAAGCACAGACACACAAACACAAACACGCAAGCACACACACACACAAACAAGCAAACAAACACAACACGCAAACACACAAAAACACAAACACAGACACACACACAAACAAACCCACACACACACACAACACACAACACACAACACACACACACACACATACACACAGTTTTTGGACCGAAACTGCCTTGACTAAGCCTTGACCAATTGCTTTCGACGAGCCGAACAATAACAACAACAAATTATAAACAGACAACTAGCGAAGGGACTAGCCCCCATGGGGGAGATTCCCAAAAGTATCAGAGAAGTGGTTGGATTTTTTCCGAGTGATCCCACAACTTTGGTGGTGACCAAATTAAAAAAAATCGTTGGTTTCCTCGCATCTCAGCACCTGGCCCGGGTTCCCGCCCCTGCGGCTTCCCGCTGCGCCTGGCCAGCATCACACTCCAAGTACCCACGGTGTTCAAACCACGGAAGTAGATTGAGTCATGAAAACCCGGCAACAGAATGGTCTACCCAGAAGCATGCTTCAAGAATTAGTTGTTTGCCGTACTAACCTTCATCTACCCGGGTTTTGATTGTGGCTCGATTGACATTCATATATAAGTGGGGTAACTGGAGTTGGTCCAACCATGGTTATTAACCGTATACTTGCTGATTGAACACCGGAGCACTCGACCAGTCGACCCCATTCAACCCCATTCGACTCCGTTCGCTTTCAGCACAATTTGGTAGACATCTGGCTCCTGGACAGGTGTCAGAAAAGCGTAGCCTCCAAATGCCCACTTTATTGGGGTGCATCCACACAGGAATGAAAGTGGATGTTATAATCTTCCTTGGTTGGGTATGTAAAGGGGATGACTAATATCGATTTGGCATTGTGCCATGTTTCACCCAACGTAACTCTGCTCAAATGGGGGCTGACATCAGAATCTTTATGGTTCTGCGGTGGATGGGGGCATGATCTCCTGATTCCTCCGTTTTATGCCTTTTAGTTTTTGGGCCCAAAAAAGCAGCTTAGGGGTTGACCACTGGCTGCCGCAAGACTTGGCTTTCTTCCTGGATATCGGGGACGGGTGCCAAGATTTAAAAAGAAAACCGTTGGGTGTTCTGTCATATTTACTCCACCCACATACAAAAGACTCGCTTTGAAGGAAACCCAGGAATGGCAGCACGACCTGCGGGAAACAGTTTCCCGAGGATCCCCAAACTCTTTCCTAAAACCCCGAAATGGATCCCGTGCTGAGAACCAGCAAGTTGATTTTCTCCGGTCAAAGGGTAACCCGGCGCCCTTCTCCGAATGCTGACTATGACCATCATGGCCTGACTTGGAGTTCTGCCTGGCTTAAATCCTGGTCACCCAAGGACTGCTTGGACATCTTGGGGGTTTTCGGCATGGTTGAAAAAAGCGCCAAGTACTAACATGAAAAGTTGAAACTGGATCACAGCAAACTCTAGCCAAACCTACGAAGTGCCAACCCCGCAAACTGAGAAACCGTCCTTTGAGGGTCTGGTACGGGCAGACGCATCCCTCGCGCGCTTTCCTGGTTTTTGGTTTCGCCTCCTGCGGATCCGCTGAATTCTTGTGGAGCATGCTCCCTGTGTTTGTCACCTCGGTATCGCACGCAGGGTCTCCTGGGTACCTTCCTGCTTCAAGGCGGCCAGTGTTTAAAGGAAACCATGGGAAACCCAAGGAAACCCACACCCCTAGCTTGCGGACTGCCATGTTCTGAGTCACACCCGTGAAATTCTCTTTTGAACATCACCCCGCCAACACAAGTTCATCATGTTATTTGGGTTTAGATTGAACACTGGGAATTGTTTAGTGGACATTCATAGAGTTGTCTGTGGACTAAGCATTTTTGAGAGTGTTCCGACCGTCAAATCTAATTTACCATTGTAAATTGGCCTGAAAGGTGATGCTCAAAAGCGGAAGGGAAGCATGGCCCAGTTGCTCAGTGACCCTGTAAACGGTGGTAACCCTTTTGGGATGGATCCCACCATTGTAACGTTCCCCCTATTTTTGTCCAAATCATCACCCCAAACCACCTGTTGGGGATAGGGCGAACATGTGCTAGAAACAGGGCGCAAAATAGCCCTAAGACACCATGTCTTGCGATTGCTTTCCTTCTGGTGCATTGGGAGAAACATCTTGCACTCAGAATCACATATTTTCGATGGCCCAAACATATTTCACCCGAACATGTCCGCCAATCTTATGGGGGCTGGGGGGGAGCGAGGGGGAGGGAGCCCAAATAATACCCTAAAGCTTAAGGGTTTTTTGGGCTCCCTCCCCCTCCCTCTCCCCCAGCCCCCATAAATATCCCCCTTCGCTGGGACTCTGAGAGGCCAGAGGGACCAGTTCAGCCTCAAAATCCTCGGGCGCAGGCTCTGGGCTTCGGTGCCGCGGCCACTAAGCTCATGTCCTGGTCGTTGGGGGAAAAAAAAAAAACGCTTGGGGGAGACAAAACGCTTTCGGGAGAAAAAAAGAACGCTGGATGCCGCCCAAATTTGGGGAACATGGTCAACAAAAACCTGAAAAAAAAGGAAAACACTCTATTAGCTCGATTTCCAGGTGTGTTTTTGTCGGTAGGACATGATTGATTTACTTGTTTACTTGCAATATGCTAAGGGCTAAGGGTAGGGGCCTGCAAGTGGGGGGAGGGGTGCTCAAAGTAGGACTCGGGCTGCAAAGGGCAGTCCTTGTTGAGAAACCCAAGTTGCAAGAACCTAAGGTTCACCTCGACCATAACTCAACCAAACAGCACGCGGTCCCCAAGCTCCGTGTTGTGAACATGTACCTAAAAAACCAAATAAATATCAGCGTTGCTGCACGTTTTTGCTTTTTCCCATGTCAATGGCCTTTGAATCATTAGACCTTACATACCTAAAGGGTACAACATGTGTATGCGCTGCTTCCATGTTGGGGTTGCTATAGAACCCGGCTCATGTCAAGGATCACTGAAAAACCCAGATGCCACTTCTCAGTCCGCCAGCATCACTAAGCGGATGGGGTCACCACAATCACCTTGCGCCTAAATGGTGGTTTGGTTTGGTGGTGGACGTTAAGACACAAGTTTCTCATGTTCCAGGTTCACCATGGGAAATCTTCGTTCTTCCTTGAGAAACAAAAAAACGGGCTCGCGGGACCTGGGCTCCCCGGCCTCTGGGACAATTTCCAGGGGTGACACCCATTGGGTCGATTTGGATCCGGGAAGCCAAGTAAACACGGGCAGGGTACCAAAGGAGGTCCGGGAACACTCGGACTCTGACAGCCCGGATCTTGAAGGGATCTGGCGCCTCTCGCCGCTTGTAGATGAACTGGAACATCTTGAGCCGCCTCAGGAAGGACCTCAGCGCTTGAAGTCTCATGGGAATCGGCCCCCACGGCAACATGTTCCTTGTGCTTCTTTCATCAACCACACTGTCACACAGAAGGGTCCACCATTAAAAAAACAAAACACTGGTTTCGCTTTCTATTGCTACTTCAGGCCTCTGGCGCGGACTGAATTTGCAATTTCACCAAAGGATAAGCCAAACGCCCAAGGTAAGCCTGGCCTTGACCCCCAGAAACAAAGAACATAAATTGATAACAGCCCTAGTGCATGGGTGATAGCCTGGCCCCCCTGTCGGGTCCATCGAACGAAAGGACATGTACGCTTCCTCCCACACACCTACCTGTGGAGAGCTTCTGAAAGATCAGTTTCCTCTTTTTCAGGGGCTCTAAGTCAGTGAATATTTAGAAGCAAGAGTGGCTTGAACATGTCGGCGTGAATTCTAAATGGGGCACCATTGAGTTGGCGTTCCAAAGGTTCAAGCCATGTTCAAACGCCATGACCTCCAATCACTCTTCTTCCATGTCCAATCCCGAGCGCGGTTCAAAAAATCAGTTCAGGCCAGCCCAACCTTGGAGAGCCAGCGGGGAAGAACGCGGTAGATAGACGGATTCACAGGTCTGCCAAGGGGTGACTGTGGTTGGTGCAACCCAGAGCATCTCTCTCTACCTCCCTCTCCATGGTTTCCACTATACGAACACCAGCACCCCCGAAGGGTTTAACTAATATACACTATTTAGCGGTTGTATAAAGTGTTTATGAAGGGTTTGTGTACCCCTTTTCCCTGCACGGTAGCGATCTGGGGGGGAACCCACCAAACTCACTGGGTGCCAAATCGGGGGCCGGAGAAATGTGAAGAAACACTCATCCCATGTTGGTCTCCCTTTGGGTAAATCAAAGACATGGGCTATTTAGGCACACGCACACACACACACACAAATAGCCCATATTGGACCATGGTATGGATCTTCGGAGTTAGGCCCCCAAGCCCCTGAGGCCCCAAGATTCTTCCGGCTAGCGAGTCATCTCAGTAGCTCGGGCTGCGGCCTCTTGACGAAGGACCGGATCTGGCACGACACCGCACCAGGAGAATGGGTGGATGTCACCCACCGGCGCGAAAAGATTTCGGAGGAAAAAAGCGAAGGTGTTGCTGGGCGTCCTTTTTGCGAAAGATTTCATTGGTAATCTTGCCAAGCTGCTACTACCTATATCCAACCAATCTAGCCACAGGACACCTATGTTGTCATCCGTTTTGGCAGGATTCACATGGGGGATGGCTGTTTCAATCTGCAGGACTACCTTGTCATCCTGCGCGGCTTGACCCGTGGACAGGTTGCTCGCATACTGCAACTAATATTTGGGCCTTCAACCAAACCGCCGAGCAACCTCGGCGTTTATCTTGTCAAAATGAGCAAGTGTGGGCAACAAAGCGATGGTCATCCAAAATCCAAACCATGGCTCAAAGCCCCCTGCTTTTCTGGGCTGTTCAAATTGCGGCTTGGTCAATCCTAATCCATAATCCTTAAGGCAAGCCACTAAAAAGGGGACCCCTTGCGTAACCCAAGAGAAGGACTAAGGAGTACCTTTGAACAGCCAACTGTTCGTTTCCACGCGATGCGCTTTTGGGCTTTCATGGGACTTCCGAATACACAAGTTTCAGGCTTCCGTGCCCGTCCCTTAAGACATCAGCCCAAGCGTAACAAACTACTGCTGCTTAACAACGACCCTTTAAGAAGCGGAACCAACAACCCACCTTTTGAAGCGGAACCAAAAGGTGAGTGTTTACCCTCTTTCCAACAATCATAGACGTGGACAAGAGGCCTTTTCAAGAGGACTGTAGTCTTTCAAAACCCTCCTGCCAGCTTCCACAGTTCTTGGACACAGGGAGCCATTTGCTTAAGCCACCTGAACCAAAAAATCCTCTACTGATAGACTCCCATTAAAACCAACAGGAGAATTAAAAAACAAACAAAAACATATTCATTGCCGCAAATGGACGTGTTTCTTACCATTGCAACAAAGCTGTACACCAAGCTTCCAGCTAAAGCCGCTCGCCTCAGACACCTCCTGCTGTGAGAAGATGCCCACACCTCAGCGATTGTTTTTTGGCGGGCAGGCTTTGGCCATTTGTATGGCACCAGGAGTGTGGGCCAGGTGGGCTCTGGTTTTCAGCTTCTGTTTCGACTGCCATCTCTTGCCAATCTTGGCTTTCACGATGCCCAGCTGGTTCGTCTTCCACATCCAAAGTGTTTGCTTTGAGGGACTGCGCACTGCGCTGAGGAACAACGGAGCAGCACGGCAGCCACAACACCAAAGAAGCAGTCAGCCGAAAGGGGCCCAATTGAAGAAAGGGCTACATAATTGGTTGAGTCAACTCAGCCAAAAAGGTGAAATACGTGCCGCTGGGCAACGGGGATGTTCCTTAGTGCTGCGATCACGGGCAGTAGTCTCTGGGTCGTTACCCCGTGAAATGTTCAACTCCCACTTGTGTAAGGGTATGAGGTCATCTCTGACTAAAAGAGCGAGGCCTGTTGAGTTGAGCGTACATAGAATATGCTTCTTGTCTCGGCGACTTGATTCTGCTGTTTGGCATTGTACCCATCGCACCGCATCCGAAAAAAGGGCACTACTTGCTGTAGGCTCCAAATACTCCAGTTTGTATTCGGGTATGGCTTGTCAACCCCTCACCCGGAAAAGAAAACCATGAAACTGCGGGTGCTTAGAGTAGGGAAGATGTTGCTCCGCGATCATGTCCAAATTGGTTTAAACACCCCACAACCCCATTCTACTAAACAAAGAGAGGGTGTGGAACACAAAGCAAACCACAATGTGTCTGCATAGGTTACAACATTTTACAAGCTGATTATGGGTGAGATAGTTTTCCCCCCGAATCTGTGAGCTCACTAATTTTTGCCCAGATACTTCGCACCCAACGGTGAAGTAAGGGGTACACACCCCTTTGGGGTCATTTGCCCAAGGAGTAGGTGTAAAACAAACAGGTATGCGCGCCGCGCCCTGGAGAGCACTGTGGACCACACCCAAGGTCGTCAGGCCCTGAGCTTCCAACTGAACGGCGGCAGTTGCCGACTATGCCTCCGGCACACACACACACACACGTGTACGCATGTATGTGTAGGATACAAAGTTCTACGTGTATATAGATATATCCATATGGCGCACCCCCCCGGGTGCCCCCGTGTTCCTTACTTTGACACTTGTGCATTTTGGATAAAAGTGGGCGCTGAGGAAAGGGGCAAGGCAGTGTAGGGTTGGGCCAACACGTGGCGCAGCGAAATCTGAGAGGAGAAGCGTTGGTTTTGCCAACGGTTTGGGTCGCGTTGTTTTTCCGTGTTGTTCCCGGAGGCATGCGATACAAAGGCAACTTGTCCTGTCAACTTGTAGAGTACTTCGCCTGACTTCTCCTGCCAATTTTCCTGCCAACTTTCAGAGTGCTACTCAGCCTGCCAATTTGTCCTGCCAACCGAGAGTTACTTCACCTGCCAACTTCTCATGCCAACTTTTCGAGAGTTGCATCACCTGCCAACTTCTCATGCCAACTTTTGCGGTGGTACTTCGCCTGCCAACTTTTTGGGTGTGACTTCACTTATTAGCTTCTCCTCTCATGGAATTTTGCAATCTGCTTTGCTTCATTTGCGGGCAGCGAATGCTTATGGTGAAAAAGAGTGCTGAAAGGAAACTGGGGGCTGTCCATTCCCTGGTACTGAAGCCGGGGCCTTGATGCAGGCAATCCAGATTTGACAGGCTGTGTAAGTGTAGATGTAAGAAATCCCAGGTCAAGGGGCATTATCGTGACATACCGCTTGTTAGTCAGTTCAGGCAAACGGACGCCTGCCTCAGGCGGCGGGGTGGGTGAGAATGGGACAGCGCTTGGCGCACGTGGACGACGTGGCAGCGCCTGCCAAGTTGATGGGGCCGGAGGATGAGAAGCGCCTGCCCCGACTAAGTGATTGCAACTAATCACCCTCTCTTCCGGGCCACCCGCCGTTGGTGTTCCCTGTTATTGGGTTGTTCGCCAGCATGCAGAGTCTGAAGCTGATCTTGGGGAAAGGAGGTAAGGAAAAGCTGTCTGGGAGACAACGCCACTCAGACGCCACTCAGCCACGTCATTGTTGCTCCTGTGTCTATCAACGGCTTCTCTAGAATGAAGAGCGCTGCAAGCCCAACCGCGCTGGCAAGACACTAGCCAACAACAGGCCCCCTTTCTTGACATCCAGTCCAGCGCAGCCTTGTACCTGCATGTAGCCCCATTTCGAGGGCCAGCTCGGATGGCAGAACTTCTACCTCAGCCAGGCCTTGGGCAGGGAACGCGAGGAACGAACCCATCTACTTTTGCGCAAGGGGCGCCCGGTAGCGCCTCAAAGTAGTAGCGGAATCAGGAATTGTAGATAAAGCCGCGCAAATCAAGCAGCGACTACATGTCATTCCATTCATCAGTTAGCCTGCGATTAGTTTCAGCAGTCTGTCAGCCAGTTCTTCGGCCGGTTGGAGGGGCTTTCTTCTGGGTTAGGCTTACCACGCGCTCAGTCAAGATAGCGCGCGCTCACTTCCAGGGGGTCAAAATGTCACGCAAACACAAAGACTAAGAGGCAAGACAACCCAGACAAAAAATCAAGCATTCTTTATATTTAAGTGAATTTCTTCCGTCGGGGATGTGCTTTCTGGTAAGCTGTCGGCCTCCAGCCTCATGAAGACTAAAACATCTGTTGTAAATCAGCAAATACCCACAAATGAAGTTTGCCCTGGTCAAGCTCCCTGTTCAATGATAGTAGTCATGATATCATACCAAATATTAATACATTTGACCATTCTTGCGACCGAAGCAGGATGCAACTTGCTTTCACCGCTTTGGCGCAGCCAAGCCAAGTGCTACTGACATATGCAAAGCAACTGCCCGGAGGCTCACCATGTTGTCCTCGTAGAAGCCGGGTACGATGCCTTCTACCAAGGCAGAACATCCAAAAGGCCTCGGATTCTTCCGAAACCTTTAGCCGACAGCTCACTGGCATCCCAAGCGGCGTATTCTTGCACTACTTCCTTTTTCTTATGCCCGCAATGTGCTCAACAGCAAAGAGACAGACACATGCGAGTTCTATAGCTTTGGCAATGCCAATTGGGAACTTGACTACGGAACTACTAGACCCAAAAGTACAAAAATAGGTGGACAAGTAATAAAAACAACTCAAAGGAGAAGCCTTGGTCGTGCCAAAGATTTTGTCTTCTGTGCTTGCTCAGCTGTTTTGTTTCCTCAGTTTGTTTTACCAAGTTTGGTACTAGAAGCCTATAAGCCTAGAAGCAGCGTTGAGAGAGAAAACATATGAAATCTTCCGAGCAGCTCACCTTTGCAAGCAGCCTGATAAAGAGCCTTTATAGGAATTGCGCAGAGCCCTGAACAGGCAATAATGAAAGGATAGAAGGATTTTCTAGGGAGCTTCTTGAAAAGACTCCTTATAACGCTTTCAATGATACAAGACTCCTCATAGACTTCCTTATGCCAAACTGGACTCTAGTTTCACTTCAGATAGAAAATGCACATAATATAATTTAAAAGGGACACAGGACACCATGCAATTATAACTTCCATGCGAATGTAAGAGGGGGGTTCATTTCCACAAATTAGCTACATGAGCATTCATCAGAATATACTAGTGGAATTTCAAAATTGATAGTGGCCAGTTAGACTTGTGATCTTCAATTCTATTTTGACAAGACACCGTTTTCAGGAATAGAACCTAGCAAGGGGAACTCTAAATACAATTACAGTGTCAACAGGCGGTGCTTTCTTCAGCTCATCCGTCATCTTGTGCCGATACTAAACACAAGTTATCCGAGAGCAACACGCTCTTGCAATCATGGATTGCAAGCCCATTCATCTGTGCTCAAATATGATGCAAAGATAGTCAAACCACGACAGCCTGTGCGCTAAAATAAAGCACACCGGGGGCACCTGGGAAGGGGTAGCATAAATATCGGTTTACTCATGTTGTATCCATAAACTGCTTTATTTATGTCGCGCGTATTTTACACCTACCATACATGCCATATATGCATGCATCTGCATGTATAAAAAAAAAAACACATATAATATCCCCCGCCCCTCCCCGTCATGGATGCACAAACTGCTGCATCACCATCTGAATGTGAGGTGAGGAATTGTAGCATGGTCTGATCATTGCATGTGATCTTGTGCCGCCAATGAACGCGCCATTACTTCAATGGATGGGAAGTCAGAAGCTGCAGGAACCAGAGCACCAAAAAGGGCAAAGCCATCCTTTCGAGATCCAATACTGAACAATTCCAAGTTCTGACGCGGGCCTCCGGGACCACCCTTATCTAATTTCCGGATGACGTCCTCAACCCCGCAGGGTGGCGACCTACAACTACCTTCTCCCGCAAACCAGTTTGACCTTCTTGGGGGGCGGGGGAGCGGGGAGGGTGTATCAATCCGACAGCGACATTTTAGGATTACGTATGTTTGATTCTGGGGACTTTATTGAGGTGCATCTTGTGCGTTTCTGAAGCTCTGGAGCGATAAGACCCGCCCTTGTCTCCGAAGGTTCCCTCCAAATCTGTGGCTGAGGTGTGCTTCCACCACCCGTGTGCACATACATGGGCGTGTGAATACACGTAAACGCAACTCATCGTAACTCTTCTATTCTCGATCGCGCTTTCTTTGTCCGACTTGGTGTCGGAATTGGGAGCCCTAAGAATAGCTTGCTTTCTTTCGGGTCTCCAAATCCGAAAAAGAAGCCCTTCGCCACGAGTTCACTTTGACCGCGGCCTTCCAAGAAGCTCTTCGAGCAAGACGGTCGCCTCGCAAACGGGCACAGCCGAGATCCAAAAATCATACAAGCAGACCTGACTTTCATGTGGGCCACTTAGTGACCCACAACCCTATTCTAATCAGGCCCTCATGTACCAAAGTTTGCCAGGACATGGGATAATTTCTCAGAATAGGTGAGTCCCGCAGGCAAGCTCCGGCAACTACTTGTTGCATGTCCAAGACTCCACGTGCTGTCCAGAAAGGTAGCCATTTGGGTGATGCTGGCCAGGCTTTGCCGAACTGCATGGACAAAAAAGATACTGGCTGTGTTCATCAAACCTCGTGTCTTGGTGGGAACTGTCTAAGGTCAGTTTGGGGTTCATGACACAAGGAAGTAGCAGCCAAATGTCAAGCACAGAAACCAGGAAAGTCACTGATTTATTCGGAAGCGGCAGATTGAAACCCTGCGACATGTTCCGCTGCCTGTGAACGGGCAAAAACACGGGCCCACTTTTGCTGATGGCAACCGCCCCTACACAGGTCTGCACCGTATGCAGCAAAACCACCCCACAATGTACAATTTGCAGAATGGTCAACATCTCGAATACCCAAAATACTTGTGCTGCCAGGAAATTTCAATGAAAGTGACTTGGCGAAAACACCGCCCCCAAGTCCAAACAGGAAGCTCAAAACGCACAAAAAAATGCCTGCCTTAGCTTGTCAAACCCTAAACAGTTGTTGGAGAATGCCGGCAGTTGATTCAAAGCCAAGAGCCATTGCGAGCTAGCGACTAGTGACTGGCCAAGCAAGGTCACCTTTCCATGGCCCTGAGTTGGCTGAAAGGGCAGGTCTGTGTCAAAGGAGGACCCATGGCTTCGGTTCTCCTTTGGGTTGCCCTCTAACCCAACCAAACAAGACCGAGACTCAAGACATACACAGCCAGTGGCCTCTTCCAGGCTTGCTGGACGCTCAGCGACCTTGCGCCCAGCGTGGCTTTTTTCCCGAAAGAGACCAACAGGTTGGTAGCAGAGAACCCCCAATTCTTGGCCCACGAGGGATACACAGAAAAAATGAGCTTGACTCTGTTCCATAGTTGGTCTACCTTGCATATATAACACTGGAGGAGAACCGAGTTTGTTCAATTTGAACCAACTTCAGGTGTCTGAAACATGTCCAGCCACACAGCACCTGTTCAGGGACCAGGGAAGTTTCGCTTCGCATAGGCCCAGAAGGTAAATCTAAGTATCCTGCTTTGGTTTGTCACAAGAACAAGGGTAAGCCATGGAAAGCCAACCAGGGATGCGCATCGAAAAAGCCCCCGGACTCCTCCTACGACCTTGCAGTGGCTGTATGTGCGACTCGAAATCCGCCGACCCCTTTCTCCAAAGGGAAGGCGCATGGGAAGGGTTTGTCTTTGTCCTTGTCTAAGTGATGATTATCATCACTTCACATCATCCGGATCATCATCATTACCGTTGCGCTCTTCTTTTTCATACGTTTCAAGTGTGCCGTTGGACCCGACTGGAAATGCAGAGGATGTGTTGTCATGATTGTCATGATAATTGCTGCTGATGCTGGGGATGCGTAGTGATGACTGTTGACTGCTGGCGATGCTGAGGATGCGTAGTGATGATCATCATCAGGATGATGATGATGATGATGAGGAACATTGATGCTGAAATTGATGATGAAAATGATGATGATGATGATGATGAACATGATGATGAAAATAAATCATCATGAAGATGATGATGAAAGTGATGATGGTGTTCATCATCATCATGTTCATGTGCATGTTCATGAACATGATGAGGAACATGAGGATGAAAATGATGATGATGAACATGATGATGAACATGATGATGATGTGATGATGAAAATGATGAGGGTGGCATGATCATGTTCCTTATCATGTTCATCATCAAAACCGTGGCTCTTCTTTTTCCTGTAAGTTTCAAGTGTCCCGTTAGACCCGACTGGAAATGCAGAAGATGCGTCGTCATGATTGTCATGATAATTGGCATAGTGCGTAGTGATGATCATCATCAGGATGATGATGATGATGAGGAACATTGATGCTGAAATTGATGATGAAAATGATGATGATGATGATGATGATGATGATGATGAGGAACATGATGATGAAAATGATGAGGATGGTGATGATGATGAACATGAATGAAGAAGGTTCATCATCATCATCATGTTCATCAACATCATCATTATCATCTCATCATCATCATCATCATCATTCTCATCATCATGTTCATCATCATCACCATCTTCATCATCATCATGTTCATCATCATCATCATGTTCATCATCATCATCATCATCATCATCATCATCATCATCATCATCATCATTTGCATCATCATGTTCCTCACCATGTTCTTTTTCATATACGTTTCAAGTGTGCTGTTAGGCCCGGCTGGAAATGCGGAGGATGCGTTGTCTTGATTGTCATGATAACTGCTGCTGATGATGCTGAGGATGCATGGTGCTGATTATCATCAGGCTGATGATGATGATGAACATGATGAGGAACATGATGATGAAAATGATGATGATGATGATGATGATGATGATGATGAACATGATGATGAAATTATGTTCATCATCAAAACCGTGGCGCTCTTCTTTTTCATTTACGTTTCAATTGTGCCGTTATTCCCGACTGGAAGTGCAGAGGATGCGTTGTGATGATTGTCATGATAACTGCTGCACACTTCGCATCCACAGCAATACATCGAAGTCTTGAGAAGAAAAAAACGACCCCCAACATGGTGGTGCTGCCCGAGTTTTCACGCACCCGGGGCACTTCTTGTAAAATTCGACAAGGTGCTTATTGTCATGCGAATTTATCCCGCAGTGGCTTGTTTGAGATGCAGGGAATGCGTCGTCATAATTATCAGAACAACTGCTGGTGATGCTAAAAATGCAAAGCAACAATTATCATCATAACTGCTGGCGATATGGCGAGTGCATGGTAATAATTATCAGCATCCCTTATGTTGGGTAAAACAATGCATCATCAAAAACATCATCCTTGTCGTGCTGCTCTTCTTTTTCATATATGCTTTAAGTGTGCCGTTAATTGTCATAATTGTCATAACAACGTGCACTGTCAGCAAGCAGGGGCCGGCGGCACAGGGCGGCAGCCCTTGAATAGACAGTTTTACCAGTCACGGCCATTTCCCTTCACACTTCATTCACAAGCTCATTTCAATCGACAAAACTGCGCCACCACATTGAGAGCTGTTCTCCCCGAAATTGAGAACTTTTCCACCCCTGGCTTCCATGTGATCAGCCAAATCTCTCATGCGTGGGCCAAGCTTGAAAGACGCCTCTCAACTGGTCTTCCCCAAAAGTTTAAAGTTCAGGCACTCAGAAAGTGAGGAATCTGCAACCTGTAGCAATCCATGGCTTTCCCAAGGCGCACTCTGTCTCACAATGGAAGTGGATAGGGAGGCCCAAAAACGATAGCAGTCTTCACGAGTGTTGGAGGGAAGGTAGTCTTCAAAGGACACCCTAAGAATCGGTTAGCACCTGCCCAAAGCACTTGCCCGCAAACTGTTCGGACCGGTTCTGCCGATTGAATGACCTACAGGCGGTTTACTTTTTACTTGTGGACCCCTTCTTGGACATGAGTTACATAGGCAGCCAAAAGGCATATATGGCTGTGGCTCAATTAAAATTAAACAGGGGGGTTACGCAGGTTTGGTCCATGTTTCCACTTACCAGGATTCCATGTTGGTACCGGATTTTTGAGCCACAGCCATATGACCAATCATTTTAAGGTGTTCCCAGTAGCCAGTATCGCCACCCACTTTCTGGGTTGACAATGCGGCCCTTTCGACTAGTTGCTTTGAAACAAGTCGCTACGTTTCTACATTCAAGTTGCCACAGAGTGCAATCATTGCTACGTCCGATTCACGGAAAAGCTACTTTGCAACACTTGAAGTGCAACAGTTACGTGGCTTGCTCAACTTGCTAATAAATCTAGCAAACTACCTGTGGCCTACAGTTAGCTTGCTAGATTTAGTTCTTTTCCCCAGCCCCGAACGTGTACATCATTCATGTCACTCGCCTGCTCCTGGCGACGGGCATCGACTGTCGGTCGCTTTTTGACCCAACCCTAAAGGTCTCGATGGTTTTTGGGCCTTCCAACGGCTGTTTTCGGTTGGGCCCCTTAGGACTTGGTCGGGGTTCTCCATTGGAGGCCCCGGGGTTTGTGTGCATTGGAAGGGACATGACCCCCCGGCGAAAGGGACCCCTAAGGGATGCAGAAGAAAACCGACCGAATAGGTTGGTGGGGCTTGTGACACATCCACTTGAACCAATTGGGGCCATACCTTAAAAAATAACCAATGAATGGGCACTTCCCTTTGGAACCCAGTAGGAAAAACAAAAAATACGACAGACAAGAAACTAGCAAACGGAGCAAATGACATTCTGCCGGCCCAACCAGTGCCAAGCCGGCCTTGGGGCCGTAACCGTCCGGTCCGATGGCTTACGGGATCTTGCCATGCATAGCTACAGCAATCGTGCTCAGTGGGCGCCTTTCTGACCAGCAATTGAGGGTGCAGGAGGATAGAGGCTAAAAATCATGAACATCCGCAAGGCCTGACTTCCCTGCGGATCACTATGGAACCCCCAAAACCCATTCATGATTGTTCTAAAGGAGTCTCCTTTTGGGTAACCTCCTTTTTGGGCCCCATATCAATCAAGGTATATGCTTTCGAGCGGGACCCCGAAGTGGTTTTCCTTGGTTCCCTGTCACCCAGGTGCAAAAGGGTTGAGCCTCCAAACAACACACTGGAAGTTTGGTTGGTCTCGAGTCGCCTCGCTGAACCCGTGCGCCCCTGCAGTCTTGGAATGAAGGACTCGCAGTAGCGAGAGCAGCGTGGAGGCCTGCGGGACAGATGATGCTCACTACCGCCAAACCACCCGTAGTGGGATATACAACTACCGGAACTATACAAAGGGCACATGCCTCATGTTCCTTGGGGGCGATGGTTTGGGGGTGGTGGAAACCAACTTAGACATAGATGATTCCTCCCTCCCATGTTTGGAAGGATCGACAGGGAAACATTAGATCAAACATTTGCAGTTGTTTCCCCTGCCGGAATAAACCTCAACACAGCATTGGGGGCTACTGCGTGGCTGTTCATTGTGATTCTTGGTTCTTAGTGGTATTCATCTTGCTTCTAACGGTTTCAAACATTGTTGGTCCCCGGTGTTGTTAGTGCTCTTATGTTTGAAGGAAGTTAAGTTATTGTCTGATCTCAGCCTAAAACCACGTACCCTCCAAAAAACTGGGGGGGACCTCGTAGGTCCGCCCTCAGAAGTGTTATTGAGTATTGCTAGGGTTCTGAACATTTCTGAACCGCCATGGGCAATATCATTCTGACCGTAGTTGGGCCCCGGGAATGATTGTCAGCGAACCGATTTGACTTCCTACTCGGAACCGACCCTGCCGGGATGCCGCCACAAGCAAGGACCCCGGACCCCGCCCAACTCGTGTTGCAACCATCTGCCTGATGAGTCGATGCTTCTTGATTCATGTTGCTTGGCGATGCCTGGCTTATTATGGTGTGTCGCAAGGCCGAGGCAACATAAAACAACCACAAGAATTCGATAGAATATTGCAAAGCATTCCAAGAAATCCAGGTGGTTCTGGTGTAAATCCATGTTGAGTTCAAATCCAGTCGCCTGTGGCTGGTCCGTTGCAAACCAAGAGGGAAATTGGAAAGGTCTCTGGGACCATTCAAACAATGAGACTTAAATAAATTATATATATATATATATCTACATTGGGTCAACCCTTCTTTGAAATGAGGGTTGAACCCTGGGACCCTGCCAGGGTCCTTAAGACCAAGGGTTGACCGCTCAAAGAAGCACCGAGACCCTTCAAGTGCCACCAGACAAACATGACAGCTGGCCCTACTGGAAACCACTGGATCTCTTCAGCAGGTGGTTGTCTACCCAGGGAGGAGGAAATCACTATCTGGAAACGAATGAGAAAATCCGTGGTCACCTACCAGAATGATCATTGAGGAGCCTCTGGGTATTGGAAAAGGCCCGCAGCTGGAAATCCAAGCAACCCGGATAGGTGTATTTGTTTAAGAGAAAACATCTGTCATCTGGTAAACCAATAATATTCATGTCAACCACTTTTGAAAAATACCCAAATGGCGGGCCCTTTTGGTGACCCCCACGTTGGAAGGATTCCTAGACCTGCTTTGAAGGGTTGTGGATAGAAGTGTGAGAAGTTGTGGGGAATGTAAGGGGCACAAATACACACAGATTCTCCTACTTTGGCTTTAAAGTACAGACCCCCTTGTAACTTCTCAATCTGGAAAATGCCAAATTGTTATGTTGACAATAACAGAGCTAAACATATATTCTTCAAGATATGGATTGAGGAAAGAGGGATCATACCTGGTGATACAATGTCCTGCTGGCTGCAGTGTAGAACCCTCTCGAGTTGAGGATGTTGCCTCAAGGCGGGCCGTAATGTTTTCCCTTAGGAACAGCTTGAAGCAACGAAGCTTTTTTGTTGGTCCTTCGCGCCGCGCCTTTTCAGGTCCAAAGCCTTGTCTTTGGCAAAACCTCGCAACTGCAGCCCGCGTCCAAACAGAGTGGCCGTGTTCTGTGCACATCCGGCGTCACTTTGGCTAGCACTTTGGAACAGGTTCCTGGCTTCCCTCTCTACTTCCGTGTTCAGCCATCTTTACTTTGCCCTTTTGGACCTTGACTATGGAACATGGGACTCTCAGATCGAATCGCTCTGGGCAAGTGGCTTTCAACTTAGATTTGAACACCGAGAGTTTGCCTTGTAAAAAGCAAAAGCAAAGCACACTGTCCAATAAATCGGACCATGTCTGTCTGACCACCACCCAGAACTCCTGGTTCCCTTTCAAGGAACAAAGACAAACTATAGTCAAGTAAAGTGTAAACAAAAAAGTCTTTCAGCATGTTCATCCGCCTTCACGCATAGAAGTTCAACTTTGTTCATGCCTTCAGTTCAGTCTTCAAAGAGTGACATGTGCTTTTTGTCGCAGACGGCACAAGGTTGCCGATATTTACAACCTTGAAACCTCACCCCTGCCAAAGGATGCTCGCCTTGAAATTGGCCCAACAGGGGAAACATACTTAGACCCCCCAAAGGAAATCAACTCCAAAAGGCCCCCCCCATCGGAAAGATTCTCATTTGTTCAGTGACCCTGGAAAAAAGGGAACCCTTTTTGGGGAAGTTTCCATTTTTAGTGGGGCAGCCACCCAAAAAAGGGAAAAGGGTGCCATTTCCATTTTTTCGTGGGGCAGCCACCAAAAAAAAGGGGAAAATAATTGGTGCCACAACGCAAAGATTTGTCGACAGAGTTTTTGGGACGTGCTGAGCTCTGGACATGAAGTTCTGGAAGTGGAATTCTGCCAGGACCTCTGCCTTGAAACCCTCCTGGCGATCCGGCGATCGGCGAAACAGCCCACGGCCTTTGATATACAGATGGTGGGGGACCAAAGACCCGAAGCTCCAAGTGGTGCGCAAACCGACCATCGAAAACCAAGGAAGTCCGGTTTTTACCAAGCAACAACCGAAAAAGGAGCGCCTTCCAAGCGCGCAGGTGGATGGCAGTCAAGCCCCGGATTCGACATGTTGCTTGGAGTTTTGGAAGGCTGGTTCCCTCCAAGCACCCTCTATAATGACTGCTTCATCCTGGGTCCAAAGCCCCAATTTGTCCAGAAAGCAGCCGTTCGGGTGCTCATTGGTCGAATTGGCGACCATGTGTGCTTTTCAAACAGTAGGGGGAATCGCACGTCTGCAGTTTGAGCGACTTCTCACCATGCCACTCGAAGCGACCAACCGTTACCCGGACGTTCTACCGACTTGGTAGGCAGCCATGGATACAAGTTGGTGCTCAGCAGGGAATGAGGGATTGACCCCTATAAACCATCCCCTATGGCTTCCTTTTAAGGGAATTCCCAGTGCCCCAGGTCCCCTCATTCAATTCGGATATCTGGGGTAGGGCTTCGTCCCCTTTTGACCCCAGTTGCCCACGTCCGCTTGACCCAAGTCCAAGGCAATTTTCCCGGAGCCCGCGGAGCCTTCGGCAGCCGCATGCGGCTCTTCAGGGACTTTAGGATCTCTTCTCGGGAGGTGCACACCTCCCGAAATCAAAGCAACAGAAGTCGAATGGGAGGGGGGTTGGACAAAATACCCCAAGGAGCCGGTCCTTTTTTGGCAACAACATGGGGATGGCCATCCAGTTTGATTCCTTTTGGGCAAACGAGCAGGGGGTTGGACAAAAAAGCAAAACAGAAAAAGTGGCCGTTTTGGTTTAGGTGTCCATTTGGAGAAACAAAAATAATAGGCGGGTCTAGAAGGCACCAAGAGCATGGGCAAGGCCACCGATTGATGTGGAACAAATGCGCAACGCTCCGTGAGCCTGACAGAGAGGAATTCTAAAGGCCCCGCGCCTTAGGAGAACCCGCAACCGACTTGTTGGACATATTTTTGGTTCTGGCAAAAGCACTTGTTCGGGTTGCTGGAAGCATGGGCTACTCTATTCCCGTGAGTTGGCGTCAGCAAACAAGTTGAAAGCCTAAGGATCACACCTCAGCGGTGTTCCAAGACCCTTGTCCGTTTTGAGAAGCCAGCCACCTACAAGGGGAACACGAGTGGAACCCTTGATCGTGCAAAACCCATTCTTTCTGCAATACCAACAAGGGTCATTCCCATGACTCTTGACTCAAAAAGAAAGCGGGCCTCAGATGCTCTGACTCAGACCCATGGCCGGGGGCCGCGCCCTGTGTCCGGAACAAAGGGGGATGTGTACGAGCCGTGACATGTGAGAAACCGTCAGTGTTTCAGAAGGGCAGTTACCAGCTCCAGTGTCAAGCTCACAACCCTGACACTTGGAGTTGGTGCAGTGAAAAAACAAGTACTGTGGCATGTAAGAAACTTTGAGGACACGGGGAACAATAGAAACATACGCTAAGAGAAACTATGTGCGGGACATAAACAGAAACCTGGATAACAGCGAAAGAAAGAACAAACACAAAAATATGGGTCTCGCTGGCTTTTCTTGGAAAATGGTGAGAGTAGGGGGTGTGAAAAAGATCGCCCTGTTTTCGACTCTGGTGCTGCCGGTAGAGGGGATACAAAAGGATCCCGAGAATTGACACTCCCCTGCTTCTCGTCGTTTGGGAAATCAAGTCCTGGCCACTCGGAAATATGGCTATGTGTCAAAGCCCTGTACCCCCAGTGAACATCCCAATCCCCACTAAAATAGACTAAAATGGGTGGTGCACCTACCCCAAAACGGTACCATTGGTGTTGACCCACGCCCATATACTCGCATGCAAAAGAAAACACAACATGGGGACATCTCCGCAAGGCACCGTCGCATTGGTCCAGCCTGCAGGGCTTGCATCTCCACCTGAGGCACATCTGTGAAGGCCATGGGCTGCATCTGCACCTGGAATTGGGAGGCACACACCAACCAAGAAATCCATCGATGCCGAGGCCGCCCGGATGAAGCTCAGTTGGAAGCCCTTCACATGGCCACTAAAACTGCAGTTGTTTTATCCTTCCGAAAGAAGGCATGAGGGCCGGCACCCTCCAAGGACCGCGTTTCCACCCTGTCCAAACCCAGTCGGGGCGGGGGGCTCTGGTTGGTGCTATTGTCAGCATCACCTTTTGAGCCATGGAAAAACATCGCAGCACTCACCTGGCTCGAGTGGCTGTCTGTCCTTCGTGGACGGAAGGCTTCAAGCCACAACTGCGCTCCAAAAGCTTGCCCAACCTCACCCCCCAAAAACAATAAAAAATCAATGGGCTGGTGGAGGACTTCAAAGCCATGCTCTCAAAACTGGCTGTTTGGCCCGAAATAACCAAAGGCACATTGAGGCCACCTCAAGCCTGGCACCGTGTCCATGTGTCCAAAGTCTAAATTTGTGCAACCTCGAGGCGACTGCCTCAAGAACCTACCACCGCTCCAAAGCAAGCCCAGAAGACAACCGACCCACGGAGCGGATAAACCAAAAAAAAACCGGCCCCTCACAACTCCCAACCACTCGTGTATGTATATATATATATATATGTATATACATATACATAACTGTATATATGGGGGGAATGACCCGGTCATCTGGTTGGTGGTTTCCCCAATGGCCATTGTATGTAAAGGACCTTTTGATCAACCCCCATTTTCATATATATATATATATATATATATGTGTACACGCCTTTTGATCAACCCCCATATTCATATATATATATATATGTGTACACGCCTTTTGATCAACCCCCATATTCATATATATATATATATATGTGTGTACACGCCTTTTGATCAACCCCCATATTCATATATATATATATATATGTACACGCCTTTTGATCAACCCCCATATTCATATATATATATATATATATCATACATCTACAATATGTATTGTACAAGAACAGGTACATACCCCATTTCCCCGGCTTTCCGGTTGCGCGCAATCTGTCGCGCGCCTCCAGCTCCGAGAGGATGCGGGAGGCCTGGTCGATCTCCCCCTGGTCCAGCTCCACCTAAGTGGGACTGCATGGCCATCAGCCAGGTGAGTGAAGCCTCCAGCTCAAAAATGAACCTGGAAAAAAGATGGGAAAAAACGAAAACCCAGACAAGCTCAAAACGGTGAAATGAACCGATTTGTGTTTAAACACGTAGAGAAAACAACACTTTTTTTTAAAGACAGTGTCCACACAGGATTGAATCGCCCCTGAATACAGTTCAGCAAATCCCACAATTTGCGAATTCCCCCAACACACGCTAAGCTGCTTGGTCCCTAAACCATATGCGAAGCGAGCTGAAGCCGTGAAGTTGGCTCCAGGCGTTGACTGCCCCCGTCCCGGACATACCGCAGCTTTTTGCAGCACGTGGACAGTGGGCAGGCTCTGAGGTGGCTTTCCGTCTCTTTGCCATTTCAGAGAACATTTGGAAGTCCGTCAAGTCGGTGTGTCCAGCTTGGCTGCAATGCTTTTGATGGTCCACTGCAATGCTTCTTTTAGTGGAAGCCCGGCAGGCGGCCGTGTGCAGGTTTGTGTGAGGGGATTCCCGCCACTGAGTGCTCCCCATCAGAGAAGGGTAGTGCCCAGTGAACTTTGCTGGTGCTGAGTGAGCTTTGAGGCACCCCTTACGTGTGATCTGACGATTTCCAGGTGACCTTTTGACTCAGGGCCTTGCTCTTCCTTAGAACCATGTTGTGTTTGCGTGTTTCTTGTTCGTGTGTTGCTTGCTTCGGCATGAAGGATGCCCTGAAAACAACCTGGCTTGTTCAACTGTGTCGCCTCCATATCGATTCAAAATTATCCGGCTGAATCATGGCAGCTGGGTGTGCACAGCTCTCGATACTCCATAGGTGAAGGAGAAAACTGGATTCACCAGCGTGAGTCGGACCTTTTGCAGCTTGGTTTCAAGAAACGCCAAAAGGGGCGGAGCAAAAGAAAAAAGAAAAAAGAAAAGAAAACAAACACCACTCTGCGGGCCCTTCACTTTCACATGGGCTCCAAGCAAAGCCAAAAAAACCCAGCGACACGCGGAAGCCGCGCGCCTCGCGGGCCTTCTCGATGGCCACCCGCAGCGGCTCTAAGTCCTCGCAGGTCCGCGCCACCATGGCCGCCTCTCCGCCCGAAGCGGCGCGGCTTCCGCGACGGGCGGACGCCGCGAAACCCACGGGGGAAAGCCGAGGGAAAGCCAAGAGGGGAAGAGGTGCGGCCGAAAAAAAAGAGCAAAGACACAGCGAGACCAAAGCAAAAGGAGAAGAAAGGGTTGAAAGGAATCTTGAGTTGTTGCATGGTTTAGGGGAAAGTTGAAACTGAAGCTGAAGTGGGGCAAATCTCGTGAACGTGCAACCACTCAAGGGGCCAAGGGCAGACTGACCCACGCACGAACTTACACATGTTTCCCCGCGAAAAATGTGGGTCAAATCTTGGTGCTTGACATTTGCCCCCTCCCCCCCCGGCCATGTCCTCAAACCAACAAAGTACCAGGGAATTTCGCGGTTGACCGTGTAATTTGAGGGTACCCCTGGCCCCGTGGCCATGATTTGATGGATTCCGTTCCCAAGTGCACAAAGGTCTGCGCCCAGCGATACAGCTAAGAAGTGGTTCTCCCATTTCTTCGGGTCTCTAAAACCCCAATGTAGTACAAAGGAGGCCCCGGTCAAAATGGCGGTTCTTTGGTATCCATGTTAATCTGCAGGGGAAAACATTTTGACCCAGCATGCATCAACCCTTGTTGATTTGAATTGGGCGGGGTGTCCAGGGTGTCCAATTTGGAGACTGAATGTAGTCTCACTTTGGGAAGTGGGAAACGGTCTTCCCCTCCCTCCGGGTTGACGCACAAAAAAAAGCGCATGGCCCTTGACAAGCTCCCCCCTCCCCCCGACAAACTCCCGGCTGATGCCCAAGAAAGCGGTTGACGTTGGAAGTTCGGAAGGGGAGCAAAAACAAATAGTTTATTATATAAACAGTTTAAAATATTAATTTTTAGCAGTTTAGTGGCTGGAATGCAACCACTCAACCACAAGCAAAAATAAGCTAACATGTTTCCCAAGGACAACCATGGCAACAAAGTCCTTCGGCTGATGAGCGCAAGGCCCAAGCCTTGAGCTCCCTCATCTTCATCTCCTTCATGGAGCTCTCCAGGTCCTGAGAGGATCAAACCGATTGGTACCACAGACTGTGGATGGACCAAATCCGTTCCCACTTCGAAACGGTTTTGTTGAAACCATAACGTGTGTTGTTTTTTCTTATTATCCTTCTTTTTTTCCTTTTTGTCTGGGGAATCGAATCAGAAACCAGGGTTTCTTAGGTGGTGCATTTTTTTTGTCCATCCACAGTTGGTTTACAAAGCGGGTCTACCCAAAACCAGGAAGGCCGGATGCATCCGCACGCACCAATTTATGGCTGGGACTGTCCCTATCCCTTCAGCTACCCGGGTTTTGACTGTGCCTCACACAGGCATCAAACTACGAACAGATTAGAAAGTCATCCTCAACTTCACCTGCTTCAAATATGGTAGACGTAATTCCCTCATTTTCGCCCATGTTAGGAAGATACCCTCAAATTTACCGGCAAATGTTCATGTCTGAATCTACTAGACACCTCGAGAAATCGGCCCATCAAAGCACTTGCGGCGCTGGTTCCAGCGTTATTTTTTCTGCAAAACAGGATCAGGATAGTAGGCCTAGCGGACCCTCGCCCGCTCCCAATTGGGGTTCTGTTGTACAAACTCCGCCTTTCGCCATGAAGGAATCTGCCGGTGCGGACTTCCAAAACAAAATGGTGCTTTCAGCATGGGCCGACCGTTGCCTGGTCATGGACAGATGGGTATTCCGGTGTCTCCTTTGCTGAGGGGAAGCAAAACCACAACTCGACAACACCAGGATTTTGTACGTGTTCCTGTCAAACGGGTCAGGTCTTGTCGACACCAATTCTGCCCTACAGTCAACCTACTTCAGCTTCTGAGATCCACGCGCTCCCGCAAAGCTGCGTCGTCATAGTAGGCAAGCTAAGATATGGTAGGCTTCAAACGCTTGGGCTAGAATTGAAAGCTCATCTCGGGTTTAGAAGACAAATGTCACCTACTCTCGATCTCCGCAGAAATGGACCATGCAGGAGGCACCAGGAGCATATCTGGACACGCTCTTGTTTTTGGTCGAATGATCAGCTTCAGCCAAGATACCACGCCACAAGTTGGCGCATCTGGTGAGTTCCTAAATCCGAGGCCCTCTTGAGAAGATAACTTTGTGCTTCAAACATCCTCCTCGGGTCAATGAACCGCAGCCGCACGTATTGAGCCAGTGTTCCAGCGAAGTCTACATGCAGTTTGCTTGCCACTGGCTGCTATGTGTCGTCAAACATGAAACTCATACCCACAAAATGGTAAAACAAAGCAAAGTTCCGACTTTCAGGCAGCCAAACATGATTTCCTGCCAAATCCTTGCAGTTTGACAACCTGACCTGTCCTGCTCAATGACCATGGGCCAACAAGACCCCCTTGTTGGTTTTTAAAGGGACACCACCCAGCAAGTACAGAAAATCAGCCACCAACTGGTGCATATAGCAATAAAACAAATCCCAAAGTGCTCGTAACCCAACTGGCCTGGGGATTTGCTCTACATCTGTTCAAAGTTCAAAGTCCAGCCGCGTGGTGGGAAGGAAGAGCCCTGGCTGACGTTGAGCTTCAGAAACCGTCAACATCAAGTCCCCAGTTCGAAGGCCAACAGTTGTTCACGCGCCTGAAAGTCTGAAAGGGGAGCATCAGGCATCCTTGACCAACACCCAAGTGTGAAGCACCCACAACACAAGACCCCCCTCCCTGACCGTTCAGGCCTCATTTTGACTTGCCCACCAACAGAGCTTTTAGGTTTGTTGCAGGCAAAAGGCTCCAGAGAAGTTGTTTGCTCCTGACAAGTCAGAGTTCGCCCTGCATGTCTCCTAGCTTATGAAATGTCACTAGTGGCCCTCCTCTTCGTCTTTCCTGCAAACACAAAAAGCATCCCGACCACCTCTGCCAAGGAATCATCCGAAAGCAGAGGTACCCAATCCCCGGATCTTCCACGCCCTTCGTGGGGCTTCAGAAGGCTTCACGCAACTCGGCTGCTCCTTTTTCCTTTTCTGCGCCTTACAGCAGCTCAGAGGTGTCCTAAAAGCGACCCCAAAGACGGGACAAGGGGAGATTCAACAGGGCGCACACATGAAAAAGATGCGGGCACACACACAGGCAGACACACAAGATCTCGGATTTCTTCTGCTTAGATTTCCGGGGGCTCGGCACAGGGTATCCTCAGTTCCCTCGGAACCTCGGATCCGAAGGGATCCCTTAGGCTGAAGGTGGTTGGGAAGTGGTTGGTGAAGTCGATTCCAGCAAAGGGAGAAATGCTTTTGGTTTCCGACAGGGAGTATAGTGTCAGCAACCAGCGTAAACTGCATGGCCAAGATTGGCCAATCAGCTTTCCATGTTGCATAGGGTTCTCTATATTTGGGGGCTTGTCAAAATGGCGGACCCCTTTTTGGTTGGTTTAAAGGGAACCAAAGGAAACCAGCCACCCTTTACCTCAAACTTGCCAAACAGGTGACCGACCGCGGTCGATTCCTCTCCTCTTGGCTTAGCTTCTCAACATCCTCCAAGAGCTTATCCATCCACTCCTGCCTCTCAGTGATGTGCACACCACCTGAGTCGCGGGGAGAAATTCGTGCCATGTCCGGCGACTCGTGCAAAGACACGCACATATATGGCTGTGGGTCAAAAATAGGTACCCAAAATGGAACCCTAGACCTGGTCTGTGGAAACACGGACGAAAACCTGCGGTGCCCTGGCGGATCAATTTTGACCCAGACCCAAAAGAGTTTTATGCAGAACATGGCCATGATACCCCTAGGAACCCTAATGCTTGTCCAACATCCCAAAGCGATCCATCGCTGTTTCCTACCACACCACAGTAAACGGGTCCGGTTTGACCCCAGAATGGCACATAATTACACACATCCATGACACACATTGGCCGCACATCTGAATTTGGGCTGTGGAGCAAAACAGAAAACCCCCCTCCACATGGAATCCCTGGGGTTCAACCACCATTGAAACAATGGGGTTCATGTTTCACCACCGTACTGTTTACCGTTCAGGATTGTTATCATCCAAATTGGGTCCCAAGGCTATTCCATTCATGGGGGTTGATCCCGGGTTTATCGACGTCCCAGCTTGGAGTTTGGCATCAACGGCCATTCTTTTCAAGGGGACCAGCATCCACATTGGGTCCTTGCCATTCATTCTATGGTGGTTGAACCCTAGGGTGGACATTAGACACGGGGATTGGTGTCGCATTGAGGGACTTCCCCCATGCTCTTAAGGGGCGCAAGGGGAACCTAAATGGCCATGGGTCACAATCCCGCACCCCCAGTGAACATCCCAATCCCCACTGACTAAAATGGGTGGCGAATTCACCAATCCCCCAACATGGGCTCCCAAAACGGTGTTGACCACAGCCAACTACTTCAATGGTGGTTGAACCCTAGGCTGAGAGACATCAGACATGGGGATTGGTGTCCATGCTAAGAGAGGGAATTCACCAACCAGCTTGGGGCAATAACACATGTAGGGAATGTAGGGAACTTTGGGTCCACCCACCGCCAAATGGCCAGATGGCTGTGAGTCAAAACTGGGTACCCCAATAAAACCCCGGTAAAAAGCCAAAAATGGACCAACACCTGCGTAACCCCTGGTTTAATTTTGACCCATACCCGGATGGCTCTCCAGATGAATCTCAGTTGCCCCGCTGCCCAGCTTGGTGTACAGCAGCTCCTTGGTCTTCACGTCCACCACCTCGAAGGCCCCGGAACCTCAGCCGCGCCGGGGGGGATTTTCGGACGTTTGGGCCGTGCAGTTTCTCAGTTGTTCAGTGACTGGAAAAAAACAGGAACCTTTTTCGGGGAATTTCATTTTTTTAGTGAGCAGCCACCAATCCAAATATCGAAAAAAATGGAAACCACTTGTTGGGGCTGCAAAGATGTTGTTTACCCTTCCTGCAGCGAACATGGCACCTGTGGGGAGGTACCTGGAGTCATTTCCTTTGGAAGGGAGCCCCTGTCAGTTGCGTTAGTTGGAGGGAGGGTAACCCTTGTTGGGTGAATTTTCAATTTTTAGTGGGGCAGCCACCGAAAAAAAGGGGAAACGGGTGCCACTGAACAACTTAGGTTTGGGCCCACAAAAAACGGGACGGACTAGTATGATGCCCCTTAAAACATTACTGCCCGAACACTGTTAAATCCAACAAGAACAACAATCAGGACCCTGACCCTGCCCGACAGCTCTTAGGTGTTCTGGAAACATCTGCGCATTCCGCTAATAAGAACTGAAGCCAATCCAGCCAATGGATTGGCTTCAGTTCAACTGGCATGAAAAGCGACACGGCGCAGCAGAATTTGCCCCTCACGAGTCCCCAAGAAAACCACCCTCCCACCCCATGTCAGTTGGTGGGAGGGCATCTTGCTGGCCCAAGAGCAGATGTCTACAAAGGGGCCAAAGAATGGGGGAGCTATGCTCGACACTCCGGTACTAAGAACACCCAGCTCAAAATTCTGAAGAATCCACCGAATCAGATACCCCTCTGACGCGAAGCCGCGAGCCAGTTCCGGCCATCTCTGAGTTGTCTGACGGCTCGTCCCCTGGCCGCAAAGCTCCTGGAGCGTGTCCTTGCCGCTCAGGTGATGCCGGTATGTGTCAAATTGTGGTTTTCCTGTTTTCCATTTTGACCATCCTCCTAAAAGGGTACCCTCAAAATCTCTCACACAAACCAGCTGCAGGAACTTAGGCAGGAAACTTGTCTTTCAAACCGGCGGTTTCCTGTAAAGCTTCCTGCAGCTGGTTTGAGAAATCTCACAATGGACTCCACGTTGCTTGACATTCAACGGGGCACTAAAAGAAATCCATTGCCATTTTAGGGTACCGATTCCCATTTTCAGAAACTCCGATCTAGCCCCCTTCCAGCGCCCTCCAGGATCCCTCAACGTACACCCCGCTTGAAGTTGCGGGCATGGGATGCAGCAATGTCTCTCTTTGCCATCTACTATACAGGCTGGCAACTGACTTCTAACACCCGCTTTGTTTTGGGGCATATCTTGTGAAACAAACTGGTTGTCCTTACCAAATGCCTCCTTGCAACAGAAGACACCGACACAGACACAATCACGCAGACAGAGAGAGACAGAGACAGGAACAAACACAGGCAGACACATACACATACAATATATAAATACACAAATATATGAACACGAAAACAAGCAACAAACAAACAAACAAACAAACAAACAAACAAACAAACAAACAAACAAACAAACAAACACACGAGCAAACAAACAAACACGCAAACAAGCAAACAAACAAAAGCAAACAAACAAGCAGACTAACAACCAAACAAACACGAAAGTAAAACTAACAAACAAACACACCCACACACACACACAGACACAGAGACACACAGACACACAAACACACCTCCTCACACTGACAACGCGAACACACACACAAATCACACTAACCCACAGATGTCTCAATGCTTTCAGGGCAGGTACTTTAGACCTAGCGATTGGAGCCGCTGTACTGCCTGTTGGCAATGTGCACGCTTCCCCTGCTCAGTGTGAAGCATCTGCCTACTTGCAGAGCATCGTAATGCCTTTCTGCAGCTTCGTTAAAACAGCTAGCTCGAATCGCCTTCCCTATCAAGCAGCTCCACCGGAAAAATATGCGCTCGCCTGATACGTCCTCTGGAATCTAACAGTCCGAAGGGTTCCCACAATGTTCTGCGGATCTCCGGTCTGGTCTCTTGGTCTCCGGTCTGCTCCTTGAGCCGCTGTCGCGCTTTCTGACGGTTTGCAATGCTTCCGCCTCTTTGGCTCCAGGGTGTGCGTCCAAACAAGCGGAGCCTCCGAAATGGGCGGTGTCAGTTTGGCTTCCCTTTAAAACCAGCCCGAAACGGGTACCTCAAAAAGCACGCACCCATTAGGTGTCTGAAATGGGGACACCCCCTTCGTTGTTTAAAGGGAAACGGAGAGGACATTAACCAACCAGCTGGTCGCGTCCCCTGATGGAGCACGCAACCTGCCTCGTGATTGGCGAAGCAAAGCACACGCTCTCCGAAACGGTCTGCCAATGCCTGGCGTGTCTCCATATTCCGCGCGAAGAGTGAGAAAAAGGCACACATCCATCTATGTTTTTCAAACCATCATGGAAGTGGACAGAAAGCTTGGAGACTACCAGCCTCTTGCAAAGGCGCCCAGTCTCTGGAAAATGCCCGTGTCCACTTCTATGTTTCCCAGACAAATGGTAGGTTCTCACCCAAATGATGCAGCATCGGAACCCTGCATCCTCCAGATTTTGATCAGGCCCAGAATGCAAAGTGGGCCTGAAGTTCCGTGGAAAACAGGCATCGTGCGTTTGTTTGGTGGCATTTCAATGGGCCCACCGCTAAAAAAAGCAACCAGTTGCCACACGACTAGCTCCCAGAGAAAGAACAAACAAGCAAACAGGTACCACGGGACGACTGAGGCATCCCCACACGACATGCCCCGCCTTCCTCAACTTGAGATATTGCGGCAAATACTTGCAGTGCATACCTCGCGCGGTGCCAAAACTTGGGATGTTGCCTGGTTTTGGCTCCTCTCTGTGAGGGAAGAGATCTTGCCTGCCTTCAACGTCTTGGGAAACCAACAAATTTTCAAGCCCCCGGCCCTTGTGAAAACCATTTCGTGGATTTCTGCAGGTGGCCCTTTTGTAGGTTTGAATGTTTTGCATGGCTTCACGTGGTGAACCATCATAGTGTTGATCTTACGAAACGCCCCCCTTGGACAAGGGGTCTTTAGAGGGGTTGCAACACGTGCCAATGGTTCCTTTCCCCCTGGCATAGGTGCCGGATGCGGGGAATTCCCTTGGTCTCCCAGGATCTTGGAACAAAAGAAGTGTCTTCCGAACTTGAATAGTACTTTGGCCTTCCCAGGATCTTGAAAAAAAAAACACCCCTTCCGAATTTGAATATGTACAGTACTTTGGCCTTCCCAGCATCTTGAAAAAAAACAGGTCTTGCGAATTCGCATCTGATTTGACCTGGATCAGCCAAATGCCTGTCTTGGGTAGACCCCTGCGGGTCACAGAACTCCACGTGGAGCACCCGCCCGCCAGGAGGGGCCTTGGGGCGACGGTGGCCTAATTTGTGTCGACCGCAACACCTGCCACCGCCAGGTCCTACCTTTGTTTTGTTCCCAGCAACTGAGACTGGTTTTGGAGGGTGCTTCCCAGCTAAGTGATGAGACTGTTTTTGAGTGTTTCCCAGCTGCTGAGACTGCTTTCTGGGGTGTGTCTGGAAAAGCAAGAAAAGCAACTTGACGACCCAAGTGGTACTGAACATGAGCCTAAAGCCATGGTACAGACCGAAACAAGAGAGAGCTTCTTGCCGACCTATTCATGAAAAGGAGCCCGGTTACTAACCTTCACTTTCCTGGGTGTTGATTGTGGCTCTTGTGGCATCTTCAGCATGTGGTTGGGATGCCAGAAAGCCCATGTTCGCAAGGGGCGCTGCACAAATACGGGCTGTGTCCGGGTTCCCGCCACTGTTCTTTGCTCCCAAAGCCTCCATGGACCCTTCACACGTCTCGAGGAAGGATTTGGACCTCACAATTTGCGCCTTGAGGAGCTGTTTGGTGCTTAGGAATTCAAAACATCCGCCCACTTGCCCCGACTTAACGGCCACCAACAGCTCCCGAAATGCCGGTGGGCTCATGGAACGTAGCCAGCGACATCCGGCTCAAGTTAGGTCCGCTGCTTGCAGGTCCAATGCAAAACCCCGTGTCCAGCATAGCAGCAGGTTACCTACTGTGGACGAAATGCCCTTGGGATGGAAGCGCAATACTGGTTGAGCCAAAACCAGGTGCAATCATCGCCGCCGTCAGTACTATGCAGGTTCCGGTCCTGACACCCGTGAGGACTTGCTCGGGGGGGCTTTTCCATAGGCCCCCTGCGGGATCTGCATCGGATCACGACCCGCGTAAATGGAACTAAGGAACTTCAACGTCCTGCGACAATTCACGCGGCTCCATGCCTAAAGCTCATCATAACGTATCTGATGAATTTCGATGCACATTTGGCGTACATTCACAACGGTCAACTTGTGAAAACCTTGGTCTCTTTGGACACAGGGGTGATGGAACCTGACAGGGGGGTCCAATTAAAAATGGGAAACTGCTTTCCACGTCCCTCCCTCCCTCCCCCCCAAAAAGCTGGGACAGAGGACCTCCCCCGCGTCAGGCTCCCCCGCTTCAGGCAGCTCATCCTCGCCGGCTCTGAGGGGTATCCGCGACAAGGATACCGGGCCTAGCGGTGACATTTCCCCCTCCACTGGGACCCTTGGAAATGTGTCGGTTTTTTTCTCTTCTTTTTTTGCTTTTCCCCCCTTTGTTTCCTCTTTCTTTTTATCCGGATCTTCCCAACAGTCTAAGGGGCGAAGGCCACACCAAAAACCAGCGATGTTTAGGTGGTTTGATTACTCTTTGTTCTGGGTTCTCTTCCCCCTTGAGATGTAACCTGTTGTAGGTTTGATGGAAAACCATGTTTTCAACAAACGTCTAAGAGGCTAATGTCACAGTGTTTTATTGGTGGTTTGGAAGGGCAACATGACACCCGCCACTTTGAGGGCCTCCTCATTTTGAGAGAAGCTCCAATGTGAATTGCCACTCATTCCTCACTTCATGGGGACCTTCTAACCGTTTTACACCTCAAAAAACCATCTCGAATTAAGCGGTTTCGAACAAATGGGTTCCTTTCGGATGCCAAGGGCATGATTGCACGCAATCAGAACCCGCTATGAAGGCGCACCTCAACCCCCCAGAAACGCCAGCTTCGCAACCATCCCCATCTCGACCCAATCCGCGCCTGTGATGCCAACAAAGCTTCTGGCCTGTAGGACCTAAGATCAAAGCAGGCTGAAACTTAGACCATGTAAGCCGTTAAGCCCGCTTCCGGAGTCAGCATAGGAGAACAAAACAGTTTTGCCCTAGTCAGTGCCTCGTTTCTAGCCAGGGGTTGACATCATATGAAGGCAATCGGAGTTAGAGGGAGTCCGAATTCTTTTCTTGGAAGCTATGAGTAGGAAGGGTTTCAATAGTTGCCATTCAATCTGCGGCACCCTTTCCACAGATATTGCCGCTGAGATCAATGCCTATAACCAGAAATAACATGAGCTAGGAACAGAAGTGAAGAAAAGGTGTGTTGCGTAAACTAGAATGGGAAGCAACGCACTTTTCAACGTGTCAGGCGCTGTGCTTTGAGCCTGAGAACGTGTCACAGAGTTCCACGTCTTCCAACATCACCAAAGGAGACTCAGGCCAGCTCAAGGATCCCTCAAAGTTCCTGAAAAATTGACAATTGGCCATGGGCCATGGGTCAAATGCCAAATCGGCTAGCCCCGGTGAACATCCCAATCCAACCACTAAAATAGGTTCGACCATGGGTGGTGAATTCACCTACCCCAAAATGGTACCATTCGTTTTGACCCACGGCCAATTCTTGAGGACCCCAACAGCAGTCGCTTCGAAGGGGAGAGCCCTGAAAACGGACCACAACGCATTGGCCGAGGGGCCAAAACCGCCGCCACCAGCAGCCATCGCCGCGCGGAATTCAAAGTGCCGACCTTCGGGGCAGAAGCCAATTTGTTTGGACACCCCACCAATAAGGAAACCCACATTCCAACAGGTGAGGGGAAATCTAGGCCCTGAAAGAGATATTCTCTAAGCTTCCTGATGGAACTTGGGGCGTCAAAGTAAACTCCTTTGAGACCCCGAAGCAATTCGGGTTCTCCCGCAGGGCCCAAGTAACAGCAAGCAACAATGAGCTAGGCAACCAACAGCTACAGTTGTCACACATTTGAAGATGTTCCATGGTCCACAAGCGGGAATCCGGGTGCAAACTGATTGGTAACTCAGTATGTGGGTGTGAAATTTGTTGGGCTACCCTCCGGTGGCCATTTGCTAGGCGGACTTGTTGCCTATCAAAACTCAAGGCCCATACATGTCACAAATCACTCTAGTCTAAACAGTTGCAGGCATGCCTGGAGAAGCGAGAATGGCTTGCCCCCAAAGCCGGCCGGTTTGTTTCCCTGTGGTTTCCCTTCCAAATGCGCATCCGCAACAAAAAGGCATAAGCCGCGACATAGCCCAAAGTTGAGACTCAAACAAACAGGATCACACAGGCAAGAGATGGCAAGAGCAACCAGTCAACTAAAAGCGTGGGAAGACCAAAGTCACTCGTGGCTCCAAAGGCAACTGCTCGAATTGTCAAGTACTTTATGTCTGTGTATGTATATATATATATATATTGCACAAAACACTGGCAAAAATACGGGTCAACCGCACCAAACCAGGCTTCATGGGAAGGGGTACCATGTATATATATATATATATATATATTCACTTATTTGTTGGGGGGGGGGACCCAGACCTCCAGTGGCAATGGAAAGAAAGGCCGATATTTTTTGAGCTAGAGCCTGCCTTGAGTTACAAGGCGTTACAAGGGCAGCGCATGGCACCTTCGGTCTGGGAAAACTGCGGGATCCAGCTACAGATCCATCCCGGGCGAAGCTTGTGTCAAGCATCACACCACTAGGTCCTCAAACCATCAGTGGCACAACCAATATTTCCACATCTAGGTCCTCCAGATTTGAGAGGTCAGAATAAGTTGGTACCGTTTCTTTGTTCAGTCTGTCTGTCTTAGTAGGGGAACCCTTCCCCCAAAAAAGAAAAAAAGGTAAAAGGGCACCTAGCTGGGGGAAGGGGACTAGACCCAGTGACATGCGCTGCACTCTTACGGGGCCCGGGCCTGGCGGGCCTGTCTGCCCTCGCGGGATAGCGCTGCACTCATCGCTGGATTTCCCTTTCGCGCCCCGACGCGTTTCCCGCAACCTGAAAGCAGAAGGCCTAGCAGTCTAACATGCCTCAGTGAAGTCCCGGTTGTTCCTTGCAACCGTCAAACTAAGAAATCGAGATGGCGCTGAATGGATTGCTTGTCTGCTGGCCGTTGCCCTCTTTGCATTGGCCTTCGATTCACGGAGCCAAGGGCTGAAATACCGCCGAAATCTCGTGTGCCGGTATTTCGAACATGATGCTCACCCCTGGTCAAGAGCTGCCTGTTTCAGGGTCCCCTGAAAAAGCCATCCCCAAAAAGGGACCCTGAGAAACTTGAAAAATTGGACCCACAGGCTTCACCTACGCTCGATCCAATTCAGTGACACACAACTTTTAATCCCGAAGGGTCCAGGGACCCCTCCACTGCACACCAGAGAACCCCGACCAATTCCTCAACAGGGATCCGGATACATGAAAAACACCTGAACATTGCAACTTGTACAGGGTGGTTTCCATCTTTCTTTTGGTGTTGAAAAAGCCACATGTTTCAAATGGTTGCAACATGAATTTCTTTTAAGGAGCCCTGCTCAAGGGCCCCTGAAAACAACCAGTCATGAGGGCCCAACATCAATAGGGATCCTTAGGGACGGTAAATCTACGACATCCTGGGCTGTCCTCAGTCCTCAGATCTGTGTCTAAGAGTTTAACTTTCCGTGGGTCAAATGGACCCCCCCCCCACCACACACTCAACAGCTAAAACGCTAAGGCACCGGATGGCTGGGGCCACCAAGCTACATCATCCTGTGTCATAGGGACTCCCCAAGCGTGGCTTTGAAGCGAGCTGAACCAGGCTCTCAAACACACACCGACATACCCAAACGAGGTCCCTTGACAAAGCATGTAACCTTCCCAAACCTCGGTGTGGTAGTAAAAAAACATGCTTGTTTTGCAACCACCAAATGCCAGAATGAAACTCAAAAACACACCAAGAACAGGCAAGCAACACTCATTGTGATGCAGGCAGGCGGTCCACGAAGGTAAGAGAGATGGGGCATGTTGCCTCAATCTCGCTACTGGCACTTCCTTGGGGCAAGAGCTTGCCGTCACGTCATTCACTGACGCTACTCCCCTGCAATTTCATGGTAGGCAAAAAGGGTCCAACAACAAAACACGAATTTAGGCAAAAGGGTCCAACAAAACACAAATGAGCTTTTGAAACGTGTAAAGCTTCAGGTGAACAACTGCAAGGGAGTAGTCGCAAAGAACTGAAGTGGCCCTCCCTCAGACTGTGTCCGGTATGTACATGCGTCCAAGTATCACTTGGAACGCTTGCAACGGCTTAGTCTGCCGCCACGGCTCCGGCCAGAACATCGCCGTCTGCATCCCTCGCGATGTCATCTCCGTGCTGCAGTTTGGTAAAGTCGTAGACGCCTGGCCCGTCTGACCTGCCATTGGGCGATTGAACCCGTTGCTTTTTGGACTCTTTTTGGTATTCATCGCTGGAAGACCTTCCTTCCCATGGTGGTAAATACCTACGTCATCAGTCCCTAAACAAATGGACTTTGGAGTAGGGGATCGCTGAAACATGTCCAAGCCACATCAAGCCACCACCCTATATAGGGTCCGATTCGACGTCTGTGGGGTCCTCACCCTTGCGGGGTCAGGGTTCTTCGTTGTGTTTGTATTGGAGGTTCGCAAATTACAATGTATAAACAAATCTCCTTTCAGAGGTTCAAATTGCGTTCCGCCCTGCCGAAGAAGACCATGATCAGCTCGCTGTCTCTCCACATACTCTGACAAACAGGGTCTTTCTGGGCGGCAATTTCGGTGTGTCTGTGGAGGGTACCCAATTTGGATGGTTTCTCAGGGAAACCAAAGCCCTTTTTGGGTTTTCTTTAGAGAAAGAAAAGAAAGAAAACAAAGAAAATAAAGAAAACAAAGAAAAAAAAGAAAACAAAGAAAGGAAAGAAAAGAAGGAACGAATGGAGGAAGGAAGGAAGGAAGGAAAGAAAAAAAGGAAGAACAAAAGAATAACGGAAACAAGACAAACAGCGAAAAGGAAGAAGAAAAGAAAACACAATGAAGAAAAGAAAGAGAACGATAACTATAGTTTTTATATTTTTGAAACTTCCGCCCACCGGCTTCGCCGGCTCTACTGGTATATATGTCCAATCTATTTACTGTCTATCCAATTAATCTGTCGTTTTGTCTTTCTATAATATGTATTGTTTCTTTCTAGCCATCTATCTATCCCTATCTTTTATCTATGTATCTATCTATCTATTTCTATGCAGTTAGGTCTACTAAAGTAAAATCCTGAAAACTGCCTTCCAAAATGTGGTGTGAAGGGCAACCCCCAAGAGCAACTTTGAGAACGGGCCCCGAAATGCAATCACTTTGAGAGCGGCCCAGGACAAACCAATCTTGCTCTCTTTGCCTACTTTCTTTAGTTGGTATATTTGGAAAACCCTGGTTGCGCAAACACGGGGATAACTGTTCAACCCATTTCGGGGTTTTCTTTCGTATACTCCTTCTCGTTTTGCAAAGTAATGCAAAGTTCACTTTGAATTTGGCAGCTCTGACTCGAACGTCGCAACATGTAAGTAGAAGTGTCGCACACGAAGTGTTCGAAAGTAGCTTAAACTGTTGAGTACAAGGTACGCGAGGTCCACTTTGATTGCCCCTCGAAACTTGCAACTTTTAAGTAGAAGTGCAGTAGGCAAAGTACTTGATTGTGCCCGGGCACTTAGGCCCGAACTGGGCCTCCTTGATCAAGTGTGCACTCATGTACTTCCAAGGAAATATCGTTCGTTCTTGCTGCTTATCGCTTTAGAGGGGTTTGTGCATGTGTTGTCGACAAATGACCCGCCCAAGACCAAAGCAGTATTCTTGCCCGCCTTTTTTTACGATCCCACCAGGTCTTCCATGGCAAATACCTGTTTGTTTCCCTCACAACAGCTGAGGATTTTCAGAACCAGTGAATATCCAAATCCCCACTAAAATAGGTTCTAAAATGGGTGGCGAATTCACCTACCCCAACATCGTACGTCAGATCAGCAACACGTCCGTTGAGTGGGTCGCAGCCTCAAGTCCAGCAAGCCGGAATTGTGACCTGAAAAGAACGCCGGGGCTCAAGCGTGGCAGACTGGCCCACAAGAAAAGAAGAAGCGGTGCACAGAAAAGATAAGGCCTAGATAGCCAAGTGGCGGTTTTTTTCAGTCACTGTTGCTGGTTTTTGGGGTAAAGCGCATGGAACAAAAACAGCGACTGGCGATCCAGGGGCTTGATCAATATTCCATTTAGGGCCCCCACATGACCACGGGCAACTTCTCCCGTTTAGTGGGAAATGTGATGCTTTTAGTGGTCTACCCAGTGGTCATCCCATATAAAGGCCCTTTCAATCAACCCCCTTTTGTGCTATTGATTCTGTTGCACCCCAGTAAGGGTCTTGACGGATATTCCCGCCCTTCAAGGGTGTCTGTCAAGATGGTCCTCTAAAACTGGTGGTTTCCCAATGCACTTGAAAACGGCACCCTCAAACAGAGACGCGCACAACAAATGGACCCCAAAAGCCACTTGGTGGTGTGGCTTCGGAACCCCCTCCTTAGAGGTGAAGAATTGCGGGCCAAAAGGAAACTTGGCAACCCCCGGGCACTGTGTTGGGCCCTCTAGGCGCTATCAATGGCTATCGCAAACGAATTTGGCACTTTTTTTTGGTACTTGCTTTCAAAGGGCAAGAACCACCTCTGAAAAAAAAAGGAAACACGGCACCACTGAAGATTTGACACCCAGCTCCATGTTCAACAGTTCCTACAAGGCCCATCTCGTCGGTTTGTGCTCAAATTCCATCCATGCGTTGAGCCTCCATGAAAAGGAGGCTAAAACGCACGTGCATGGGCCCGGAACAATCAAGTGCTCTGTGGTTCCTCTTAGCCTAAACCATGTACAGGATGTACAGACCATTGACCTCATTAGACATTCTTCAAGGAAAGTCTGTAGCAACCTCCAACTGCTTTGCGTCCCTAGGGATGACTGAGGTATGTTAGATCCGCCCCCAAAGGAATGGGCTCATGGGATGCTGACATTGGCTCAGCGCCCAGCGCCGCCATTCTTACCTCCAAGTTGTGCATGTTGTTTTCTTTTGCGTGATCATCTACTCCAAGCAGCAATGGACCCTCCAGTCAACAAGAGGGAAGGGGCTTCCGTTGGTTTGACCTCACGGGTGCCCTAAGGGCACTGCCTGTCTCAGCGTGTGCTCCCTATACCCCAATCCCAGTTGTGCCTCCAAATCTCACTTCCTGAGTGGATTGGCCCAAAAAACGTCCGTGCTTGTTCTTTACAACTGACATGGTCCAAACCCAAACAGTTTGTAAAGTCCGGGAACTCTTGGTTGACGTTGAAAGGGGAGCAAACAATTAAATTTTAGTAGTTTGGTGGGGATTTCAACCACTAAACCACAACAAGCAAAAATGCTAACATTTTTCTCAATAACAACCATTAACTCAAACCCAAACAGTTCTTAAAGTCATCTCAGTTGTTCAGTGACCCTGGACAACAAAAAAGTTGGAACCCTTTTTGTGGAAGACCATTTTTAGTGGGGCAGCCACCAAACAACAGTGAAAAAAAAGTGAAAAATAATAGGTGCCACTGAACAACAGGAAGTGAAACATTCCAATGGGTTCTGGCCCCTGCGGCGGAAGGAGGCGAGGACGCTCTGCTTCTTCCACTGGAGCCGTCTGCGCCTCTCGCAGCTCAAAGCGTCCACCTCAAAACTCGCTCGCCGGCTTCGGGTTTGTTGGGAGAGGGAAGCTGCACCGCGGGGGGGGGGGGGGGGGGCGGGGTCCAAAGCCACAACCGAAACCTATGACAAACCAACCCATTTTTGTTGGCGTTTGTTGGCATCCTCGAAAAAAACAAATATAAGATTGCCCCCCAGGCCCTTGTTTTGTTGTTCGGCGACTCACGTGGAGGCGGGAGCTGAGCGAACGCTGAAGGGTTGGTTATTTGGGATTGTTCTTTACAGGTAACCCAAAGAAACGCCAACCGATTTGGACAACC